AATATCCTCTGGCTTTTTTTCTTTGGCACCTCAGTTTGAACCTTAACCATGTTTAAGACAGGTAAGTGAGTACCTACTTTCCAAGCTCTAAAAGCCTCCAAGTCAAGCAATTAGCAATTTTCTAATAAACATGACCAGAATTGTTTTGCTTCATTCTGTGAACCTCCGCCCCCAGCGATTAAACCATGTATTTCTTGCTCTTAAGACTTCTGTTGGCGTTATTGATGCCAGTATTTCAAGTGACTGTGCTGTGTTTTTTCCTTGTTTTTGTAAAAAATCACTGGGACCAACTGGCTGATTTTTACTGAAAGTTTATAACCCCTATAAAGCGTGGTGTGTGGCTTCTCCCAACTTCTCCAAGTAGAAAGCTGTACTATTAGTGTAGTCAATCCTGTTTATCAAAGAATGAACTACTTGCAAGGAAATATTTTTAGTGGAATTTTTAATGGGTTCACTTGGTACCACTGTCCAGTGGTGGTAATGGAATCAAGGGAATGTAGCAGAAGTATTTGATATGCTACACTTTATAAAATGTATACAATAATTTTATATGATAAACAGTTGATTTTTTAGGTCTGTAGATAATGCTATATGCTAGATACATGATGCCAGTACAAAGCAAGGTGCTAGTCCTGAAGCACGGAGTTCCTTCTGCTCCGGTGGTGCAAAGCTTCTGTTAGCACTTACAATTCTCACTTTTGGAAAAAACACAGTGGAAGCTCCTATGCTGACCCCCTGCACACTGCTATGAGATGCACACCTGATTTTCAAGAGGCAGAAGTCTTACCTAGGGCCTTTTGGTTTTTTGATGGCTGCTGAAATGTCCCTTTCAATTCTGCACAACTGGCCAGAAGCTAAACCAGCCCTGAAGGTGCACTGACTTTTTACATAGCTTCACCTTCCACATAGCTGTACTGAGAACAGCCCAGATAGATAGACTCTGAGACACCATCTTGTGACGATTTCCTATGCAGCGTGTTCTATTTTCCACTGTGCGACAGTGAGATTTTTGCTGTAATTTGCTTCAATACATACCTTTTTTTCTTTGCACATTAAGTAGAATCTTAAATCATGCTGACATGAGAGACAAATGAGAATAATTCTAATTATCTGTAGTGTTTCAAAGTGGAAGATTAAATTGCAGTAGTAAATATTTGACTTCAGTACTTGCTTCTGGACCCTTTCATCCACTTTACTTTAAGATTAACCTGTGCTTCATATTTTCACTTCTTTCATCTGATGATTTATTTGGTATCTTTAACTCAAAGAGAATCTTTGGCAAACATAAATGGACCTCTTTGCTGGCCTAATTAGTTTAGCATATTAGCCTGTAATTTCAACAATTAATTCTAGTTCCATCATTATTCTTTTAAAAAAATCTTTCTTCTTGGATTTGACTGAAAATGTTATTGGAAGCAAATGACTATCCCTTTTACATTGAATCTCAATTTGATAATAACTTATATCTTTCATTCAAGCTTACGAAAACATTTTCCAGATGCCGATGCAGAAAACTTCACAATACCTACTGATGAGGGGATTACTCTTATCTTCAGATGATGACACTGAGGCACGGTGAAGCTAATTACTAGGGATTGTTTTGTGGGATTGATGTTATCCAAAAAAATGGATAAATACTTAGGCCAAACAAAATCTGAGAATGAATTGGAGTGGTAGTGGAATTTAAAAACTGGCCACATATAATTGAATAAGTCTGTGTGAAATTACTAATTTCCACATCATAAAATTAATTTAACCAGAAATACTTTCAAGTAGTTAAACATCTGGAGACATGAAACAAATCCCACGTATGCCTTGAATATACAATCCTCTATTTAGGCAGCAATGAAACTTAAAATTACATCAAAATAATATTTGAAAAATGAAATATCCAGAAACATAAAACATTCAGAACTGTCAATATTAAACTCCTTGTTCAATTTGAGTCCTTCTGCATCATTGATGATGCAGTTATTAATTACAGGATCACAACCTGCTCTGTTCTCAGGATGCTTACTTGATTCAGTCCACAGACAATACTCAAGCAACGAAAAAAAATGGTAGTTTTACTATTCTTTAGTTCCCTCTAGCATCCTTCTTGTACGTTATCAAGATAAAATGTCATTCATTTCAGAATCCTTTCAATTTATCCCCACAGTACTCTCTTCCCTTGCCCTGTGCCACCACTTATCAGATCGGGAAATATTATAAATTCCTTTGTACAGATGCAGAATGGAGAAAATAGTTAAAATTTGCAAATAATTTATAAATATGCCAACTTTTAAGATGTCAAGGTGGTAACTAGCCCTTCTGTAGGAGGAGTAGACCATACAGCAGGAGCAGCTCTCTTATACTTCAGACTGTGAAGTAAAGCAAGTTGCCTTTCCCCTCTCTCTTTATACCTTTGGAGACAGTGGAGCAGAAGTGTATTCTGTAGAAATTTAATTGAGCACGGTGCTGACAAGAATTTATTCTAGGCTAACATATTGTGAGCTTTAATCTCCATTCAGTGGTAAGAAAAAAAAAACACCCAAACTACTAAAATACATAAAACAAGAAGCAATTTACTTTGCAATTAGCTTTATACTTTGTTCTATGCAATTACTGGAGACATGTTTAAATATGAGCTTTCTTCCTTACAAGCAGACTTGAACTAGAGAGTTTAATTATATGCTAAAAGAAAAATATTTTCTCCAATGTTTTCTACTGAAACCTGCATTGAATACTTAATCCTGTGTTTATGAGTAGAATCTGCTGCTATGGATACAGTGAGGTAAACATTTCAACATTATTACATTACTGCGGTGTTAGAGGAGATAGTAGGATAATATTTTTATTTCAACAAAAATATTGTGGAAAGTGTAACATATTTTAAATGCATATATAAAGCATTTTCATATTCTGCTTTTAAGTATGAACATAGGAATTATAACAAGGTCCAGAGTGGCAGCACTAAAGAAACACTTTGTCTGTAATAAAACTTTACTTCCATTTTCACCTGATGCTGTAAGAGTATGAGTGAGTTTTGCAAATATTAATTAAGCTGCACAAAAATCCTCCGATAATCTTCAAGGTCACTCCAAAAAGAAATAATTTTTTTATGCATTTTACAAAGTACAAAGAAAACCTGAATAGCTATTCTGACAAAGCTGTGATTTTCTAATTGTTCCTTGTAACAGAAATACAAATAATATCCATTTTTATCTTTCCTGTGTTTTGAAGAACTCCAGAGCAATATATTCCCTTAACTGAATGGATAATACTATGGCATACATCCTCCAAATTGGCTGTTAGGCAGTTCAGTTAAATAAGTATTCTAATTCAGTTTTAAAACTGCCTCATGAAAATACTTTCCCCATCAATTAGTCAGTTTTCAATTTTCTTTTTATCATGGTACCACAATCCTTCTAATTTTCCTAGTATCCACAGCATTACAGAAAAAGACTAGACAAAATATTTTAAGGTACAAATAGCACATCTTTTAAAAAGCTACGCATAACACAAATACATCCAGTCATCTTTCTTATATAGGAATAAAGAAAAAGAGCAAAAGCATAGCCTCATATTTTCCTGTGACTGATCACCTTTAAGATAACTATGCTGAATCGTTTCTCTCTCTTTCTTTCTCTCTCTCTCTCTCTCTCTTCATACAAGAAACTTTACTGGTAAAAACAGGTAACGTTTCTTTGAAAAGTTCAAGCCAAGGTAAACCTGCAGTTTCCAAACAGCTCAAAACATGTTATCATTTTATTGACTATGGCAGAGTCAAACATGGAAGTCAAAAGGGGCTCAGCTTTCAACCCGATTGCTTATTTTACATAGAACTGAACCCAGGTATGATAAGTACTAGTCCTAAATCTGTGGTGTTACATGAAAGGTCCGGTACAGCACAGCCAGTAACAAGACAAGTGTCACAGTGCTCCTGCCCAAATATCTCGTTTCTTTTGTTGTTTGTAGCAAACACATTACTGTACCTAGCAAAGAAGAGCCTGGCCTCGTGATGTGAGAAGAGCCAAAAGGCCATGAACTCCCAGTCCTGTCGCACTGCACCTTCCTGTTTGGCCTAGCTCAACTTACTTTTGTGTGTCAAATTCTCCATCTGTAACACTGGGATAATTTCTTCAGGTGGTTTTGCTAGGGCTCATCAGTATTTCGTCAGCACTTTAAAATAATAATGTTTATGATATTAACAACAAAAATAGAGGTTTTGTTAGCATTTTGGAATGACGTCTAAAAACGTTCTATTCAGCACTTTTATACTTAATTTTTAAACATGCTTTTTCATGCTTTGAATGCTTTTTAATGCTTTGAAATTATGGAGACTTCTAAGCAATCACTTTTACCCTCAACAATGTGATGTGTTTTTCTTTGAAAAAAGAGAGAAAAATCTGAAATGCTCGTTTCCAAATAGAAGAAGTCTAAAACAAGAAAACCAGTGATGGTTTTAGGCAAAATTTTTTCTCAACCTCAAAACCAGAAGCACCTTTAGGTAATTGCAAAAGCAATTAAAAATTTGCTGATGGGAATAGAGATTTAGGGAAAAATCAGTGTCTTTTAACTGAATACTAGAAGGCTACGAACTTACTTACCTTTTTTAATCAATAAGAAATTTTTGAAGAGCTAGAGAACCCCCAACAAAATACAAACTCAGTTATATTTGACTCAATAATCACATTTTTAATTTTTGTATTAATGAAATACTATTAATACACTTAATTTCCTTAAAATTTTTTTTAATTTTAAAAATTATTGATTTTTGAATAATTTGAAATAACATAAAAATGAAAATCAAAATGATAAAACACATGAGGAGCCAAATCCTGGTGTGATTAATGGAGCCAGGGGCAAATTTCCTATTGTTTCACTAAGAGTAGAACTTAAGCCTAAATCTATTGCATCAAGCAACTGATTACGTTACTGCAAAAACAGAATTTACTGAAGCAGAGATGTGATCCAGCGGAAAAGACTTTCTTCAGTTATTACACATCCACTGGCAGGATCAAACATGCATTCCAAATCTGCTATTGATTGCAAAGTAACATCAAATGGGACCTGAAAAAACAGGCAAAAAAATACCAAATGAATAACTTTATTGAGCTTACAGGTACCAAAAAGTACATATATAAAATATACAAACATCTCTGTATAAAAAAGTGCCACCTGTTATTTCAAACCGGATTTCTGACCTACATCTAAGGAATAAGTAACAAATACTCATCGCCTCAATATAAAATTGTGGATGATGAAATTTCTTGCACTTAACTAGTAGACTAGGATTAAGGAGAGGAAATTTCTGTGAAGAACCCTGCTCACAAAGTTTCTTCTGATCATCTATAGGTAAAATGAAGATATCAAAACAGAGCAGAAAGAATGGTTAGAAATTTGGAAAGCTTTTCCTAAGATGAAAGATCGAAAGAATTGAGCTAGTTGTAAAAGGTGAAACAGAGGGCAATGATAAATTGTCTTCTATGTCCATCAGACAAGGAGAGGAACTAATTAGCTGAACTTGCAACAGAAATGATTTAGGTATTAACAAGAACTAACTGTGTAGGAAGAGAAGTATTGGAACAGGGCTATTTAGAGAGGTTAATTTTTTAATGCAATTATTTTATTCAGAAATTTACTTTTGGTATTTAAAAATGGAATTCCTAAGTACTATGCTTTACTATGTCCCTCAAGAACAAAACTAAGCATTAAATATAACGGTTTAAAACAAGCTAGCTGATCAATTTTTATTGTTAAAACAGCCAAACAATTTGAAATAAAAATTCAATGAAAATGCATGTTTTCCACTTAAAATATAACTCAGTGCAGAAGCAAAAGTACTGTAAGAGACATGAACAGAGAAAAAAAGGAATCAAAAAAGAGAAACTGGAAACACGATAGCAGTTAAAAAGTGTGACAGCTCAGAGAATGAGAAAAGAAATACCTCAAATTAGAACTGCCTTTGTCCAATTAATTCAAAACAAGACCAGCATCAAAAGGTGTATGGTGGGGAAAAATGATGTAAAAGTACACATAAACAAAGTGTATAACACTGTATTTTGCTGCCTTCTCCTGCAGCTTGAAAACAAAGGGAATTTACTACCTACGGCATACGTAGTCCCGCACTCAGCTTTCCAACTCTAGCCAGGAAGACTGTATAATGCATACGCTCAGTTTATTTGAAAGTTTGGGAACACTGCTTAGAAATAGTCAATATATTTGGCTTGAAGTCTCTATCTGAAACTTTGTGATGAAAAGTCAGTTTTTCCACCTACTGCAACATTTTAGCTTGTTTTGGCATGAAAATTGCATAAAACAGAGCAGTTAACATTTTCTTACTGGAAGGAAACTGCTAAATTTGCTTCCTCGCTTACATCTTAGACCCACAAAGAGAAGTGGATAAAGAGAAGACGGGGCTCATGAGAATTTAAAACAGGACCAGGAGATCCAGGTGATTCTAAAGAAGCTCGGCCATACCTTTCTCTACGTTTCTGTTGTATGTATCTTCCACTGCATGTATTTCAGTGAGACTGTAGGAAGTACAGCTTCACAGAACAAATATATGTGTATCTTGATGCAGTGATATAGTTGCATTGAGTGATGTGAAGGTCTGGAAGTCATTTAAGAGAGACCTTTAGGATGGACAACAGGGTAATGAAGACGGTGTAATATGTATAAAAGGGAAGCAGAGAACTCCTAGGTACCTGCCCGTCAGATCTAGAGGACACCATTTTAGATTCTCTCTTCTCTAATAGGCCACTAACCAAACTGTTCCCAGATAAAACTCGGGATTCTCTTTTGGTAAAGAAGAGCTACTGGACTGGAAAGAGGAGCACAGTGGATGCCTTATCCGTTTATCATTATAATGTGAACAATTATAGGAGATATATCTGAGGATTAGTAGGGGTTTCATATGTTACGATGGATTCTAAAATCTTCCTTGGTATTTCTTATTAGAACCAGAGCTCCAGCAGCTGTGGTCCTCTCCTGATCGCCCTGGGCTGGCTGAGAACACTAAGCCAGTGCTGCTGCCTGCTGTGGTCAGCTCCCAGAGTCTGCTCTCGGATACCGATGGAACTGGCAAGTTTGCATCACGCAAACAAGAGGAACGTAGTCGTTCCAACCACTGTATTAACCAGTTTGCAAGACTTTATTACAGCCTTTTGTCTTCTAAAGATCTTGTCCTGCTTCTATGTTAAGACCTATCTTCATTTAATAACATAGGAACTTAATCTGTGATCATCACTTAGGAAAACTGAATAATGACTACAAATAGGTAACAACATGAATACAACAGCATGGACAAAAATATAGCATACTACCTCTGAGGACGTTCCACAGGCAAGGCAGAGAAAGCTAAAGAAAGTAGAAGGAAAGCCTGAATAACCGCAGAGACACACGGATGGATGTAATTTGCATTTGGCAATTGCGTTCTGGAGTGTAAGAAATTCAGTGGAGTCTCCATAAACAATGACTCGAGAATAGTGGATGAATCCATTGTGAGCGTGATTCACTTTTCAATAAGTTTTTGTATGTATAAGAAGGTGGGTGATTCTAACTAATAGTGCAGATGTGCACAGTATGTAATCATGTACACTCGTATTTTATTTGTAAAGATATCTAGCAGAAAGCCCAACAATATATGAGGAAAACTAGAAAGATACTTAGTGGTATAATCCATATTTCAGTTTAACTGAACAATTATTTTATTTTAGAAAACAGATGTTTACCATTAATGAGAACAGCATACCTCAGTTAATGGCAACGACGGAGCTGGAACAACAGATAGCAGTGCTCTTACTTCAGACAAACACCTTTTAGCCATTTCCTAATAGTATAAAACAAGAAAACTAATGCTTTACCATTAATATTCTCTGATAAAATATCAGATAGTTTGGTTTTACAAAACTTTTCAGAACATTCAAGTATTAGGTTATCGTGGCTGAATTCATGAGGAAGTAACCCCTAGCTGATGAACATAAATTTTGCAACACAAATAGTTGTCTTTGCTATATGAACTCAAGTGCCCAAACCTTGCAGTTTCTACTGAAGCAAAATTGCCTTGGGTTGGGAATTAACTCCAATGAGTTAATAACACTTTTAATACTTTTTAAAAAATGTTAACACTTTTTCTACATATTTATTGAAGATATTATAAACAAACAGACTGACAAGATGATATTTATACATGTATAATACATGGAATGTTAATCTTCATATTCTAAACATTGGTTTTCCAATTACTGACATGCATTAATGAGCAAAAACCTTCAGGTAATCAGAAATACCCACTGAAGGACAGCTCTGCCTACCCTCCTGAAAGCACTGTATGCTGTGATTGGCCAAAACATCATCTGTTTTCCAAGACGGTCAAAATACAGCTTCTCAATAATGGCACAGTGAGCAATTGTTACTGTTTCACAGCATCCGTCCAGACAAAATGACAGCCTCTACATCATTAATCATTTCATATAATAGATATAAAGAGAATCCTGTCACATGATAAATGTCTCCCACTTTGAAAATAAACGTCTATTTTGCCTTGGCATTTATCAAGCAGCAGTTACGCTGTGGCAACATTCCATTCCACTGACATTATCTCAAAAAGACCACACGGAAAACTCTGAAATTACCTCTTTTGTATGTGATGGGGGGGGAGGGGGGGGAGGGGAGTTATTTGGTTGCGGACCATATTCAGCCTTGCTAATAAAAAGAAAAGAGGAAGGTGGCCTACAGAAAATGAAAATAAATTCATTGCCAGTTTTACTCCTTCTGAATAGTGTTATTAGAAGGGTCTTGTTTCAAAAACTGTCACTGCTCATTTTGCACTGAAGATTTATAAGTGGTGTTTAAAAAGCTGTGTTGGCCTAATTTGGTGCCATGCCAATTTAACAGTGCCAAGTATTTTCAGATGTAGATTGCTACAAATTAGGCCTTGATTTTCAAATTTATGTACCTGAAAATGTGGCCTTTACTTTCAGGGGGTTGAACATGCCTGATATTTTTGTAAAGTGTCAAGAAATATATCAGGAAAAGAAAAAATTCAATATTGAATGAAAAGTGAAAATATTTCAACGTTGCTTGAAGGCAGGTGATGGAAGTCTAATTTTTAGGTCTGCCAAGTTACCTGTCATTCATTTCCCCAAAATAGACATCTTAAATAAAAGACTATCAGACATATTTAAAGGCAGAACTGTTTTCACTTACTTCTGTTTTTTCATCAAGATGCACCTTTGCAATATTCATTTTGTCTTTTGTTGAAGGAATTATTTTCAGGGTTTCACTTTGTTCAGCAAAACTTGGAGTTTCTGAGACTGAAGACAAACTTTTAGAACTTTGCATCAAATTTTCAACTTGCTGCTTTAGTTTAGATAATTCCTCCTGTAAAGAAATAATTCTGAAAGAAGACGACATTGTTTGTTATTGCTGTTATAAAAGAATACTTGTTGTTTCCAAGTTGTAATTACACTAACCTTCTATTATATGTTGTCTAAGTTCTAGACTTTCTTTCATTTAAAGACTGACCTCATAATTTTACAAAAAAAAAGTTTCCCATTAAAGAAAATGGAAATATGGAATGCATTAGCTTTTTGCATTAAAAATGGTAAGAAGAAGTATTTTAAATATGTTGCTCTTAAAAAAAGGCTGACAGGCCAGGCAGCAGGGGCTGCAGTTATTCTTGGCCTATCGTTCCTTCCTCTCCACCTACTCAGTGGTTCCAAAAATTCTGGGGCTAGATGGAGGCAGAGAAGAAATCATGAAAAATACCACAGAATGTAGAAAGAAGGGTTGAGTCTAGGGCTACAATTCAGAAGAATTCTTGTATGCTCAGAGTAATAGTAGAGGAAGGAGAGTGTAGCTGAACCAGAAAGAGAATGAGAATAATTGCTGTGACTGCTTCTTAGATTTGCTAGCATTTTCTTACATTGCTATGCCAGTGTAATATAAATAGCACGTGTTACTCAGTTCTTCAAGAAACAAAAATAAAATGCTAATGTACTGAAAAAGCATATGTTTGGATACTTAATGCTGTGTACAACATCTGCTACAGTTTTTACAGTGAATAATCTCTGAAATGCTAAAATGAATGCTTTTTAAGGCTTACAGCTCTTTGATATTTGATATTTTATTTTTTCTCATCCTAAATGGTTGACTGATCTTTAATATAGCATGAAATAATAGGGCAAAGTCAGTGATTACTTACCTAGCCAGTGGGATCCACAAGTAGCCTGAAAACATAGACATTGAACTGAAAATCTTGATGTTGCTAATCTTGACAGGCTTTGTATTATAAGCATAAAGCAGCAAAACCTGTAAAGAGATGGAATATGTAAGCTATAATGTAGTGTGCTACAGTAGACCTGAGGTATCTGAGTGATTATAACATCAAATTTGGTATACTGCCGTAGACTCTGGTAGCTGGCTTTCAGAAAAGGCGGGGGGGGGGGCCGGGGTTACTAAGTTTTTATAGGTGCTACAACAGTTTAATTGTGCATATAATTTATATGGGTTTGAAAATGAGTTATTACCCTATACAGTCACCATCAAAATCCCGATCTTGTCCTGATCCTGGTCAATCAATCCCACTTACATTCATCTCCGGAGTTCCAACTTCAGGTAGGCTTTTATTGAATTTGCAAAAGGGGATATACTATTACTTATATTTCCTATATGACCCTGTGCATGTGTGTCACCATACTATGTTTAGATCCATGGAGTGCATATAATTCACTGGTCTAATAAAGCAGTATCAATATAAAAGCACATGAAGATGAACTAGAATGTTCTTTTATCTCACTGAATTAATTCATTTCAAAGATTGAAAATATGCTTCTTAGTGGTAGCTGAATATGTTGACTACCTGGAGAATGTCAAGAATATGGCATTACTAATATATCAGTTGTTTTCAAGAGTGGATCTCTGCTGATCTGTAAGGTCTTGCTAAAGCGACCTGCAAAACGATATTGAATCTTACATTATTTGCAGTAACTTCACAGGGCTTTCAATAATTGCTTGCTAATAGAGATGAGTGAGGCTTAGGAGAAATTCTGACACTGATCTGCTAGGCCAAAACGTTTGGAGACCTTGGATTTCTATTGCAGTATCAGAAATTGTACCTACGTGCAGTTCCCTTGTTTAAAATAAAACCGAAACAAATTCCATTTCCCACTCTCTCCATTTTATGCAACCCTCCAGTTCCCTTCGTTTTTTCTTTTTAGCCTTATTTCTTATGGAGATGAGGTTCATAAAATCCCATTTTCTCTGTATATGTGTTCCTTCGCTTTTCTGCCAGCCTCCCCCTGCAGTACTGTTTGAACATCTCAGTCAGCTTTAACCAAACTGAACAGAGTGGAGATCTTAAAGATAACAAGGTTCTGCAACAGGACTGAATAAAATATGGCCTGGAGGCTGTAGAGGCTCTCCAAAGTCTTTCTCTGGTCTGTCAACAAACAACCAGCAGGGTATTCTGCTAGTCCTGCCTAGCAGTTTTGTGGCAGCGTACGTGTATAGTCCTTGCTGTCAAACTTGCCAGTTGCCATATGTATAATTCAGTTAAAAAGCTGATCAGTCATGACGCAAATATTCATTGGAAATCAGACTTAATTTGTTCTAATGCACAAGGAATGGCTTTGGTGTAGTTTTACCTTAGCTTCTGTATCATTTGATGGCTTTGCCAGAGAAGGAATGTACCACTGAATGCTAAGCTCCTTATTTGAAGCATTTGCTGCCCTACTCTCTGTCTGACTGTCTGCTTCTATGATGACAGGAACAGGACTAGCTATTCTCACACGTGAAAACCTTGGTGAAATTCCAGCACTTTCATAAGACATCTGAAACACAAAAGAAAATTTTAGATTTTAGTTTTTTTCTTGTGTAACATGCACTTGTTCATAATAATCTGCTGTCTATTAGAATCAGTACGACTGAGAGGGGAGCTCATCAGTGTGTACAAGTATCTGAAGGGAGGGTGTCGAGAGGATGGGGCCAGACTCTTCCCCGTGGTGCCCAGTGACAGAAGAAGAGGCAACGGGCAGAAACGGAAGCACAGGCAGTTCCATCTGAACATGAGGAAAAACTTCTTGACTGTGAAGGTGACTGAGCACTGGAAGAGGTTGCCCAGAGAAGTTGTGGAGTCTCCTTCCCTGGAGATATTCAAAACCTGCCTGGACGCAATCCTGGGAAATATGCTCTAGAGGACCCTGGTTGAGCAGGGGGGTTGGACTAGGTGATCTCCAGAGGTCCCTTGCAACCTCAACCATTCTGTGATTCTGTGACTTTCACTCCTGCACAAAAATATGCTTCTTTTAAAAGGTGTCCATTTTACAAAGGGAAGGCTTTTCAAAGTTCACGTGATGTGATGTTTCTAAAGATAATGCAAATACCTTAAAATCTCTCAGCTGATTTACAGATACATCCACAATAGCAGTGATATTTGACTCGGCTTCCTCGTGGTGTTACCCTTCTTACTAAAATAAATATTTAATGGGCTGATCATATGAAGTTTAGTGCTGAAATGGTAATTTAGCTTCCATACATACTGATAATTAAAATAGTAACTTGAATGCTAAACTGTTTTATTTATATGTTTACCTATTTGCTTTCTCATTAGCTGTACAACTGCAAAGTTTTACATATGCAAAATTCAGTTTCTTAATTTGTGAAGATTCATCATATGTCATACTTACTAAAATACATATGGAACAGTAGCAAGTCATTAATCAAATTGCTACTGTTTGGACCAGGGAAGCAATTGAAAGAGTGCTGTTAGCTAACTCTCATTCATGAGTATTTGTCCTTTTTAAAACTGTAAAATATTTGATTTAAAGGCTAAAGGGCTCTGCCATTTCTACTTTGGAAAAGCATTATGCAGATCTGCAAAGAATTTAGGAGGCCAAACAGTGACATTTTGAGAAACACTGAAGCTACACGAAAAGATCATTGATCCCAAAAAGTGAGTGCTGAAAAAGCTACTTGGGGAGTTGGTACTTTTTTGATTTTGAGTGTTCATAACTGAAAGAGCCTTGAGGATTTTGCCAACTTGATTTTCAGAAAAGGCAGCTCATGCTCGATAGAGGTGGGAGGAAGATGGAACTTTCTGAGTGAGGTAATCTTACTTCATAAAACCAGTTCCCATCCCACATCGAAATACAGTGGAAGTGAAGGTAAAGGTGAGCAGTGCTGAAGTCATGCATTTAGGCATGTGATGTACCTTGCACATGTCCTGGGACAATTAAGTAGCAATGGTCTATGCCACATAGACCTTAAACACTGAGGCAGTGATAACAGTGGCCATACCTCCTGGAAAGACTGTGCACGGATCACCTACCATTAACAAGGTTCCTCTATATTCAGGATCTTAGACTTTAGCTGTGGCAATAGAGACTACATCACTCACAATCCTGCTAACATGGAGAGTCAACAAAACTATGATAAAATGCATACACGGAGGTGGCAACAATCTAATCTGTGCCATGCCCCTTACGTAGAACTCTCAAAAATCTGTTTTCTGCTATATATATTTTTTCTACATCATGTGTGGTTTATTTTGTTTTTCACTGAACTGCATATTTTATTATTTTCATTTTGTTATTTTTGTTATTGAACCTTTTTGACAGAGAATATTACAACTTCTCTTGTCAAACTGGAGGGCTGCTGAATTACATACATAAATATTTATCTATTACACTTCCTCAAAATCCTGTAAACAACAAACTACTGTCTTATTTAAGTATTTCTATCCTGCATACTATCATGGTGTGGAATAAAATATAACTACGAAAAAATGAAACAGGGCACACATTTTTTATTATAACCTTCTTAATTTTAATATAATTTGTTTGGATGCTTTGTTCAGCAGAGCTGAAAAAATTTCAAGAGTCAAAAAGAGAGTTACAAAGACGTCAAACAATTTTGTCAGCAAAAATGATCCTTTCAACAATTGTATTTGTACTTTAAAAAAAACTCAGTATCAAATTACAGTAACAGTTTTAAAAATAACTTATACAGCCTACTGAATAGCTGAAGCTTCTAAAAATATTGTGATAAAAATCAATGAAGCTTAGAATTGATAAGAAAAGTAAGAGTTTTATGCTTGTTAGCTGTCTACAGCAGTGAAGCTAACACATGATTATGCAGCCTGTACCTGTCACAAACATGACAGTGAGCTCTGAAGCTTATTATTCTAGGACAGTGTAATACTAATTATGTCAAAAGAAGAGCAGACAGAGTAAAATAATTTTTGATATACGACGGCTGTTATAAATGTCACATACCGTATATTTACAATTTATTCAGTGCCACAGTCAGCTCTTTGTTGGGAAATGAATAATGATATGCTGTCCAACACTGCAGAAAGTTCAACAACTCTAGAAGAGCTACTTTCACAGAAGTAGCTTAATTCATTTTGATAAGACAACAAATCCTCACCCCTCAAGGCTCCCCTTTCTCCATCTAACATTGAACATAACAGGTAAAAAGCAAACCATAAAGAATATCCTCTCTTTTTTTTTAATATTAGGGTAATTTAATAATTATGTCAGAACTGGAAAAAAATTATGTTTATATTGAATCTTCAAAGACCTTTAAGATCCAATATTAAATACATATGCTATGGTCAACACAGACTCCAGAACTGCAATTCGAGCTTCTTGCGAGTAGCACGGTCTGAGTATGAGCTACTTGTATCTGCAACTTCCAATAGAATTGTTGTCAGCCAGAGATTTGAAAAGATTGATTTACTAATCAGCTGATAATCAGTGAAAATTTTTGACAGTCTTTAAACATGAATTAATTTTGAGACAAAAGGGCTTCAACAAATTTAGAGAAAGTATAAATCATAATTTTTTTGAAAATCAGGTTTCAGAACCAAACCAGGTTTTTCAGATCAAATTAATAACACAGAGAACAAATTAATAATATAGAGACAAACAAAGCACAAATAAAACATTAGGACATATTTGGCATGAAACATGGAGCTCTAAAAGATTAAAAGCATAAATCCTACCTAACATGGTAAGCCTATTTAGCTGCTGATGAAATCTTAAATATCATTCCACTTAATGTTTTAGGGTCTAAATAAAATGGGCACTGGATAGAGATCATTTATGCAAGAATGAATAATACAAATTTGCCTGCATTCATTATGTCCTTCATTGCTTGCATAGGTCTTTTATTTTGCACTGGTCCTGCACATACTGAATTTCATTCTCCTACAGTGCTCCCAGAAATATCACTATTTGAGGCAGCAGAAGCTGAATGCAAGTATGACATGCCAGTATAATACATATTTTTGAAACATCATTAACAACAGCAATAATAATAAATACCTTTGAAGAATCAGTTGGACTATCAAGTGGCATTTCTACATAACATAGCTCTTCTGGGAAATCCTCCAGACAACACACTGAATATTCAAACAAATGTTTTTTAAGGAAGACATGCATTTCTGCTATGCGTAGAACAATGCCTGTGTCAAAAACAGAACTAAAGTGTCCCTCTCTTGCAGAAGATGATCCAGGTCCTGATTTAAGGGAAGCTTTGAAGAGATGATATTTATTTCATTATCATCTGCCATTTAGAAGTAAACTTTCTATAGCTACTCAATATTTGTAAATTTAAAAAATACAGTAAAATATGCAAGTTGATTCAACAGCAATAAAAAGAATTTCCAACAATTACACCGATGGTCCAATTATTATTAGAGTATGTTATTTGTATCATAATTTTTCATTGGAGACCAGATAATGAAGCAAGCTCTATAAAACAATACAAAAATAGTGTAAAATGGGATGAGCAGATTTGATGTTAACGGACTTAAATTTGGCTTTCTAGATGTAAGCACCAGTATGTTCGCTAGATGTCTAAGCACCCACTACAATAAATACATAGCTAGTCAATACAGTCCAAAGAGGCTCTGAGAGCAATTTAGCTTACCCTAATTCACACAACTAGCGGCTGATAGCTTAGTCACTCTCTAGGCTCTGTCAGCTGTAACTGAGGCTGAGGCATGGAAGCACATTTTGACACCTACTTGTAGTACCTTAGTGTCCTTATAGTTCTGTGGTGAAGTAGAATACTTTCCTTTCATTTGGTGCTTCAAGGAAAAACCCAACCCTTTCTGAAAGGTTCATTTTAAGAGCTCTCAAGTTTCTCTCTGGATGGCAAAGACTGCTTCTAAAGCCTAGAGCAAATTCCCAAAAGTACAAACTAGTTCTATTCTGGGCTATCACTTGTCATCACTTGTATATCCAACAGCTGGCCTTCAGATGCAGGTGCATAGTATTAGGGCCCTGAAATTAATGGATTCTTTTTCTATTTAACAGGACCATCTATTACCATCTTTTATTAGCAGTGAAATAAACCAAGTATTTAGGTAACATTTGGGGCTTTAGTCAAAACACATTTAAATAATACTCAGCCTTTCCATTTACACTAGAGCCAATTCCTCTTCTCACAAACAGGCCCCCCAACCACACAGATTTATTTCTGATGTGACTTAAGACTGAGGTGTCTAGAATTAAAATATATATATATATAGTTTATGCATGAAAAAAGGCTAATAATAATAGGAACTAGGTTTTGAGGGGCACTTCTTGTGGTATCATTAAGGCTTATGAATAACTGTGGAAAAGGTAATATGTTCACTTACAGTACTTGTAAGCTGACATAACTTTTTTGATTTCAGTGAAGTTTCTTCCCATTTACACAATTTAAAGGAACTCAGAATGAGATTACCTCAGATTCTGGGCTCAACTCTGATACTTTTGGCCCCCAAGAACAGTAGCTGAACTATGTCAGTTTTCTAGAAGGAAGAAAAAAATTCATACCAAATTGAGGGTTTGCGTTGTAAAGTCTTTTTAAATAAATGTGGTAGCGAATTAAGTGAACCCATGTTATGGTCTCGTTCTTCTGGCTGGCCTTGGTGGCAAGACATTCTGCTCTTTCACTTCCGTCTTGCTTGTTTTGTACCACGTCCTTCTTTCCAGATACTGTGGGACTGTTAGAGACAACGCTGTATCCGTCTGCAAATCCAATAGCAGTTCAAAAATGGATATCAAACGAATGGCTATAATTCAAAAGATACTTCTACATTGCATTAGAATTGACTATCTGTAACTAAAAACGCAAATTTTGAACCCACTGATGTTTTTATTAAAGACCACAAAGTCCTTTTTATTCTGCTTCAGCACTAGTTGAACACCTTAAAGAAAGTATATTTCTCACATTATGGCCAAAATTCTGCTTTGTCCTTGGAAGCTAAGAGGCATAGAGAGCATGTTTCTCTCTCTCTGTCTCTCTCTCTCTGAGCAAGGCAAAATGCAGAAGTGAATTGCAGTGCTCTGTCCCTGTATCTTCTATGAAATCAGAAAGGGACCGGGAATTAGGAGGTTCCTAGCCACACCGTACTTTTCACCAGCAAGAAAGTAAAAGGAAAATTCTATATATAAGACAAAGACAGAATGAGATATTCTCTCTCTGAAAAAGACCTGTTGCAAATAGTATCCCCTATGCTCCCCTTGGCATCATGCAACTCTTCACTTTGGACTGGGCCTAAAAAGATAAACTAATCCCATGTTTAGGCCCATAGAATCTCTTGGTTTATTTGACATGCAATACAGCAACTTATTAAAAAGCTAAGCATCCATATAATGCTCAAAATTATTTTAGAATGTTGTACTGTATAAATCACAAATTATAACTGAAAAAGTAAAAAGAGCATAAAGAAAGGTGCAACTTAAGGACATATAATGGCAGTTGAGCATATATGATAATGTCATAAAGCACTATTTCAGCCATTCAAAACTCAGTTAGGCTTCATATTACTGAATCAGATTTTTAGGAAATGGTTGAAAACTTTGTTTATTAACCAATGCCACTAATAATTTCATGGCTGTTATTTATTTATTGCAAGTAAAACAGAATAGAAATCTTTTAAATAGTGTTAGATAGAATTTCTACATGAACTATGAAACATCTCTCAGAAAGACAGATTAGAAATTCCAACTCAAATCAAATGCCATTTTATTAATCCTCAAAACTAATGTTTTTTGATACTGGAGAAAAATAGGAACAATAATTAAAAGCATTACACTAAGTGTGGTACTGGTATAAGAAAATGTAAATCTCATTATGGCATCATATGGCCCTTCTTTAGTGATACATTTTTGCTGTTGCCTTCTGAGGCTCAGTACTGGAATTGATAGGTCACGGGCAAAGTTTTGGATATTTGGAATCCCATAAGGAAAAATGGGCTTCTTGGGGACAGTCATCTATCTGTTTTATCATGTTCTGACTTTAATCTCATTAGAAATAGGGCTCTAAATCATGATTAGTTCTATTTAAAAATCTTTTTGATTTTTTTACATTTAAATAAACCATTTAACATAAATTGAGTTCTCTATCTGGTCTTTGTTATCCACCGCAAAATCCACCGCACAACGCAGTCTCACTTCTCTCTTTTAGTGAATTCAGTAAAGGCTAAATTAATTATAATATCTATTGGTTCCCTGCACAATTGGACCCTGATTCTGCAAGTGATCTTCAGATAGAAACCTAAACACAAACCTGTGAAAGTTCTGCCAGCATGATGTTTGCAAAGACCAGATTCCTCATTCCCTGTTTCAATCCTGAACAGTCAAGATGAGTTTCCTAAGGAACATGCTCTTCTAGCATTTTTTTAAACCAAACTCAGTAGAAATCAATTGACTGTAAAGTTTAGCAGGTAGCATTCTTATTCAACAAGGAAAAAAATCAAAACAATCAGTTGGAGGGCATGATGGGGAAGAATTTCTGCTACCGCTGTGAAGACGAAAAAGGTCTTGTAAGGGCTCAAGAAAGCTCACCACTGTGAAAATAAGGATCCAAGCATAGATGACACCTCCCAATCAGCTCGAAAGGAATATGTTACATTATACTTGCAACAACAAGCAAGCTAGAGTACTGAATATGTAATTAGTACTTAGCGAATAACAGGAATCCTTGCAGGTAACATTTTGGCAACATACCGAACCACTCCTGAATTTAAATATAAAACCATTATTTCTATATATTGTTCCACAGCACATATTTATTAAGTGGAAAAATTATTGAGAGTCATTAATCATAGTTAAAACACTTCAACATCCCAATTACTTTGACTTGAACTCAGAAGAGTTAGGTCCTGTGAAATGTTTATTGTTAGCTTGATCCCACCCCTTTTAAATATCAAGCACAGTACGAACGAAATGTGTTCTTGACTATAGACTAAGAAAGTCTTCCTGAGATGCTGCCTGAAAGTTATACTTATTCCAAAAACGGAAGAAATAAATCAGTACAACTACCACTATATCGCCAAGTATGTTCAATAAAACTTCCACTGTCTTTGTATATTCCTTTCTCGAAAGTCTATACAATTCCTCTGGTCTGTTGCTCACCCCAAATTGAACAAACACATCATATTACTGTTATTCTTAATAGTAAACTTATAGAAAATAATTATGCGTGCTTCTATAAAATATGAATGCCTCCATTATTACTGATATTTCACTGTCAATTGCAAAAAGAGAACTTACTTAAAATGGCCACATTGTTTAGAAATGAAACTTAAACAATGTCCTTCAGTAATGGTTTTACACAAAATATTTAGCATGCTGTGCTGATCATTTCCATTTCATTTCACCTTTATATGTTTTGGCCTACTATTGCCTTTTTATATTTTCTATTCCTCTTTATATTGCATAACAGAACTATCAGGAGAAACACTTGCAGCATTTACCAAAAGAAAAAGATGATCTGTAATTATAAGCAAATGGAGCTGGTACGAGACAATCAGACTGATGGAAGGTCTTAACATACAAGACTTGTTTTCGTAAGCCAGTCAAAACACATATGTTTAAACACTGTACAGTAAGCAGACATTGCTCTGCTTTGCCAGCAGCTATCAGGTAGAGCAATTCAATCTATGTGAGTCACTTGGGACAACTGAAATTAAGTCATTGAACCAAAACTTTATCACTAAATCAGTATTTCCTGATTTAAAAATAAACATAGACATTTTGCCTTAGTGTTTTAGACAACATCTGGAAACTATTATCCCACAATACTTAATTTCACTGAAATTATTTTTCATCAAAAACTTGTATTTCATCAACTCCACTAGCTGTAAAATACACGCAGAAGTTGGAAATGAAGTAGGCAAAGTTCTACGCAAAAGATAGTGGAAGTATCGCTAAATGATAATATATTGGACTGGAAAGACAGTGAGGGATTTTTATCATACTGACTTTGATTTTAGAATATAGTACCTAGGCAGATAATTATGTAAGTATGATTTCTTGCAGGGGGAGGGAATACATAAGCTATTCAACACCAACATTTCTCTGCAAAATCGAAAGGAAATTTGAAAATCTCCAAGGAAAAACTAACATCACTAGGGAAAAATTCTGTTCTAAAACTGTTTGGAAAAAAAAAAACCAGCGGAGACTGATCAGAGGACCAAGAACTGTTCTGCAAGTCTAGGGAGTCCCATGCCAAAGGTTCAGCTGCTTTTAAGGTGTCCATCGTTTCCAGAGCGCTCTCCTTCTCAATCTCTCTCTCTCACTCTGAACCACAGTATGCAAACAATGCAGTTTTCCTTAACCCATTAACCACATGCACAGGCTGATATTTAAAGACCCGTTAGTCATGTTACATAACCTGCTCATGCTTTGTACAGCTATGCAAGACAAGAGGATTTTGCTTTTACCTTCCAAATTTGACAAAGTTTTTCATAAATGAAAGTTAGATATTAAATGTATTACTAGATTACATGACATATGTAGTTTATTACTTATTTAATATTCTAATATTACTAGGTATAAGGGAATACCAGATAAAAAATCTCTGTACGAAGCAAGAAGATCCATGGAAGCAAATTCAGGGATTTTCTGTTGTACTGCATCCTTCACATTCTGTTCTTTAACGCTCTTTCTTCCAATTAATAGCTGAGAAGCAAGCACAGCTTCACTGACCTAAAAATAATATTTGTTTTATTCAGGACTAGTTCACTGCAACATTTATACAGTTTTTAAAATCTGATACTAGCAAGCTAACAGTGAAAAATTAATTGTTCAACATACTATATTTTACAATATGGAAGACAGGAAAACATTTTTCTCTGACATGGTAAATACCACACTTAAATAAATCACTACTGCTGACAACTTAATTACTACCCAAGTGATTTCAAATCAGATATCCTCACCTGGATGCCACTGATGTCTACCCACGTGTCAAATATGTATACACACGTATCAGTCAGTGCGCTGTTATATTCTCATTGAATCAAAGTAGAAGCAGAGTCAGATCTGTCCAAGAGAGCTTAAATGCACTACTCGGACAATGTCCATTTTAACTTCTTCAAATAAGACCCATGGCAGAAATCCCAGGGAACCTTAACTCTTGTCTCTCTTGTATTGTGATGTCTTGACTGACTGTGCAAGTTGCATAAGATAACACCAAAGACAAAAAATAATCTCTTTAAAATATTGCACCAACCTGTGTGGCTGCTCTTACTGCAATCCAGGCCTGTGCTTTGTAGCCTTCCGATATCAGTGCTTTTTCAGGAGAAGAAAGTTCTTCAGAAGATGTCTAAAATTTTAGACACCAGTTCATAATTAGCATTATAAATGTATGTCAGTAAAATATATTTTGATGATAGTACAAAGTCCTCAGAAATACAGAATTATTGTTTTAGTTACAATAAAAGTTGTAAAAATCAGCACTAATTTGGTATATCCATGGATTAACTGCTAAAATTGAAAAAAAACAAAACAAAACTAAACCCTAGGACATACTAATTGGCCACTACTTTAGAATTTTCTTAGAGCTGCTCATACTACCCTTACCACCATAAGCAGTTTTTTGATGAACTTTCCACTTTCTGGAATCTTAACTACCTCTTTTTCTCTTATGTTACACATAAGGTTCAGAATCTAATGCTTGTAGCTACCTTAAAGTTGTTATAGCCCTTTATATTTATAGTCACAATGTCACTCATTTTAATACTGAAAAATTGAAATCTGGTAAAGTATAAATATTACTATTTAAAACTCAGGTTAGAATGTAACATTTTCTTTGCAAGGTGCAAATTAGTATGTAATCAGGAAGGAAAACACTCTATCTGTTAATCTTCTGGCTTCTTCCTCTTTTACATAGGAAAATATTTTAAACATGATTGTAGATATCATTCAATACAATAAACACGAGAAATCACATCAAACAAGATAAAGTTCTACTGCTGTACTACATGATTTCTTTGTGTGATTTTTCTAGTAGGATTTTCATTCATGATTTATAAGTCACAGTAAGCTATGGCATGGCAAAGTGCCCAGTATTCTAACAGGAATACGTTTCCTGCTTTGAAGAGGCCACTACCCAAAAGAAACAGAACATACCCTTGATTTGGAAGGCACCATCTCATCTGTCTGTGACACATCCTCTTTATTTGTGGCAAAATGCAAATATAATAGTGCTATTTCAAGGTATGATCTCCTTATTAACCTGTAAGAAACAGCACACAGATAATAAATCTTACTATCAGAGTAAGCATTATGCTGACATAGTCTGACTCCTGCATAAGATTAGCAAAAACAGCCACACCAAATACATCATTCATCCAACCTGCATCATGTACTTAAACTATATCATCTTTCAGCAAGCCATGATATCCTGTTTCTAAGTCTTAGTGAGTCTAAAACACCCTTATGGTATGCTTAACAAATTACACAATGATTTAAGACTATGCCAGATATAATTTGCGTTATGTGCAACACATATTCAGTAAACAAATGGCAAACATTCAGTAAGCAAGTTGTAGTTTTGCCAAGTGCAGTGATCTTTCTGTGGGTTCCTCTGTCTTCCTTCATGTTAAAGCATGTATCTGTTGTCAGTTTCCCTGAAACACAGATGGTTGAATCTGGATACGGGTCTTCAATCAAACCTTCATAAAGTTCTCTCTTCCAAGAATCTGCAAAAATACACCAGGAGACCAAAACAGTCTTTCATTTCCTCATTGTGCTCAGCAGAGGAACTCATGAACACAACTGCTTTCTCAGCTCGGAGTTCTGCACCAGAAACTCTATATCTTCAGATGGACTGTCCTCATCAATTCCTGTTCTCCTCCTATGCTTCCTTCTCCTTTGGGTCATTTGTACCACCAGTCTTATAAACCAGGCCAAAATCTGTATATCTGAAGAACTTCTCCAACATTCCTGTTCCCTGTAGGTTTCTTACAGTCTTTTCATCCAGCTTCTTCCTGGCTCTGTAGAATTCTCTGGTTCGCTCCTAGGAAGTGGTTGTCCTCGTCTTAGCAACAAACTCTTGTTCATGCAGCCATTCATCTGGATGGAGTTATATAGTGCAGAGTTGCTGCTCTGATGGTGCAACAAATTCCAGCTTAGACATGATTTGTGTGGAGCAATATATTAGAGTCACAGAACGCTGTACAGTTCAGAAGAAGGCAAGCTAAATAGCAAGATCACAAGTTCTGCACTTAGCTGGCCACATTTTAGTTAACTTCCTAGCCTTTCTAACAAAAATGGATGTCAGACATCAAGAAACAACTATAATTAAGAAAAACCCATAGATAACTGACAGCTTGCATGAAGGTGATCTGGAAATTCAGCCCTGGCCTCTAAAATAAAAAGTCAAGGTACATCAGTGTAGCTGTACAGTCTTTTAGAAGGACTGTAGCAAATTAAATCAAGGGAGTGGCAAATAAACTTGGAAAACATCACCACAGTGCAGTTTTATACTGTCTTCCATCACCTTGACCACTTGCAGAGGTTTATTACTCTGCTACTGCCTCTGTGTTCAGTTCTAGTTCGTGAACTTCAGTAACAGAATACCCCAACTATCAAGGCAAATTGCTGCCTTTACACTGTCTGTAACGAGACAAGGCACATTCCTCTCACACAAAGCGGTCAAGAAACTAAAAAAATACTGCGGCTGTTCACTCCCCTGAGCAGGAGCTAAGGCTCTGGGCCTAACAGACAGCTCACGCTAAGGCCTGATGTATGCTGGGAGCAGCACCATTAGGATAAAGCGAGAGCGACACATACAACAGACGCTTAAGGACAAAAAAGAATGAGGTCTGCTATCCTTGCAGGTCTGCTATCCTTGCAGTAAGGAACTGCTTGTTAACACCTGATAAGTCTGAAACTCTTTGGAATTAAGTAAATCCTTGCCCACTAACTGAAACGACCAATAGGATGGTATAGACCAAACTTCCAGGCTGGAAGGTACAAATACATCATGTCACCCCCAAACAGCTATTGAAGTAGACCCACCAGCAGCTGGACTGCTGAGGCTCTTGTGCTTCCTGGTGCAATTCAGGGAATGCCCACATCATGATGGAGGAGGAAGGACGAACACTCTCACCATTGGTTAGGTAACTGTTTTGCTCATATGTGCACGATATTAACAAATTATCAAGCTAACGAATCAGTGAACAAGCGAATTAAGTAACTAGAGAATTAACAATTTAGACTAGTCTGCAGAGAAGGGATTAACCCTTTGTTTGCTTTTTTTTTTTAACTTAATAAGCTTGTAAAAATAAAGTTTGTTTCACACAGTATGCTGTCATGTAAATTTGAGAGAGTACAATGAACCCTGACAAAAAATCTAAGGTCCAATGTCCAATGTATCGGAATCGCTTGACAGAACTTATTGGCTGGTTTGGTTCAGCTCTTTAGGTCCCTCCTATGCTGAGAACTAACACCAAAGTCACTGTCCTGACATCAGTTACAAACACATTTCCCATGCTCCTTCTGCCTCTGTTCTGCCTGTTTCTGGCTGCTAACCTTTTCAGCCTGGATTTCTATTACCTGGAAGGCCACAGCTCATCTTCTAAAATATGACTAAAAACTCAGTTTAATTAATAGATCTGTTCCTGCTGTTGACAGAGAGGGTACAAGCTTGAAAATAAAGCTGAAAGTTGTAACTTTGTCTACTCAAAAATATATTTAAATCTCAAAAATATATTTAAACCTTTTCAACATTTATTTTACAGAAGAGAGTATACGGTAGCTCTTCTATACTGTTATAGAAGAAAAATCTCCCAAACCATAGAAGATGCTTCATAATAGAAGTCTCACATCAAATCTCAGAGAAAAAGTCAAAAAAAATTTTCATATGTGATTAAAAATGTTAAGTTATACAATAGTTTCTTACTCAAAGTTTTGATCATGTTGCTGGCTCACTTTTATAGCTTCCAAGAGGTTCTCAACAGCTAGACATGACTTGTTATTACCTGCTTCAGTTATCTGGCATTCCACCTTACCTAAGAAAGAAATATAGAAAGCAGTTGTACAAGATTTCTTTTTTCTGTAAGATCCAGCCTGTTTTCTCCCCAGGAAAGTTGAACTATATATTGCATTATCTATTCTTTTGTTGATACGCATAATTTTTTCAGTTTGTTTTAAATGTAATGCACAATGCTTGTATAACAAGTTTTTTCATAAAGCAGCTAAAACAATCAAAATTTCAAATCATAATGACTCCTAATATCACTAAAATCCAAATGCAAGCAAACACTGTGCAATTCATTAGCTTTGTTAAATTATTTAGAAATACTTTATGAACTTCTCATCTTCTTGAGTTCAGACTGATGCAAAGAAGCTAATTAGCTTTTTACTGCGTCCTAGAGCTCCTCAGGTATACCCTTTGATCCCTGATATCATAGAAGTGGGAGAAGTTCTACTCTAGTTTTGAAATAATTTGTTGCATAATGTACCATGATCTATGCTGGAATATATATATACTGGCATACAGGAGGGAGGATCAGCAGCTAGGCAGGATGGGAAATATCCAGATTTGTTCTATTTTTACAGTAAAACATCTCCATTTTAAGATAGATCACAGGCATAAGACTGTCTTTAAAAGGCAATCATAATGTGCAAATAAAATCCTATTTACCTATCTGAAAAAGAAGTTCAGCTTCCAGATCTAAATTTTTTGTTGCAGATGCCCTGCAAAGTTCCAATGCTGATTCTAAATGTTTGAGAGCACGTAGCCATTGCAGTGGATCTCCTCTTTCAGATGTACAAGCTATTTTTTCAGCTAATATACATCCTAAAAAAAAAAAAAAGACAGTTCTTAGTGAATCATTTAATAGGAAACCAAGTCATGCAAAAAGAAATGAGTTCCTTACAACAAATATTATTACTTATTTCCTGTACAATCCAATTCTCAAAAATCGAAGTGACTGATGGACACTTTTTCACTAATGTATGTATGATGACAATGAGGCTTACCTAAGTCATCTTAACATAGGTCACACTACACAAATCAAACCTTTCACAATCTATCTGGAAGGACTGGTGGTAAGCCAGTCATAGCTTTACTTGACCCGGCAGTTATATGCAAAACCTGAATCTCCTCTGAGTATTTCCAAATTCCAGAATTCCTTTTGTACTAACCATGTCTAAAGGCTTCGTTGATGAATTCCATAGCTTTTAGACTGTACTCCCCAATATTCATCAATTCTCACAGGGTCTTCCTAAACATGTGAATTCAGCGGTAGGAACTGATCAAACAAGGCCATTCCGGCGGGTGATTCTGTACAGGCCTACATTGACCAGCAGTAAAGCACAATAGGAGAGGACCTCTAGAGCAGAATACCTGACGCTGAATACCTGACAGCCACATTACATGCATTTCAGAGCATTTACTTTGGACTAGCTCTAGTCTAGTCCTAACAACTAAACACACAGTAATGGTTGGAGTGCATTCAGCGTGCTCCCGGAACACACCTTCCACAAAAGGAATCTCGTACATTCTGAGGCTGCTCCACAATGTGAGCCAAAGTGCAGTGAGTGGAGATGATAGGGAGATTTGCTTCAAAAACACATTCCTGATCTGAACCACAACGCTAGCATTGTCCCACAACAGAGTATGAGATAGGAATGATTTTGATGGTTCACTCTATTTTAAAACTGAACATTCCATTTTTTATTTAAAATATCTGTATAGTCATCTTTGCAGATACAGTTGAAGAAAAGGCTTAAACAAAATAAACTAGTACTACTGAAATTACATCATTAGCAACACAATACGTGATTGTGTTGAAACAATCCAGTGGGTTCAGATTAACAAATTACCTCCAATGTTTCATATAGGCAGCTAAAGTGAGCTGCATTTTCTCCCTTACCATCAGGTGAAAAAGGAGTGCTAGCTTATAGCCTTAACACAATTCCTAACCAAACCCATCATTCTACCTTATCTCATTATAAACTATATAGTGATATTTTAGTCTATTATAACTCAAACAGACACCAAATCAAGTTTAGCAGAAGAGAGATGGAGACAACCTTAATATTTTATTTTATCTATGCCAGTCCTTGATCTTCAAAACTAGATTTTGGGGGTTTTTTTGTTTTTTTTGTTTTTTTGTTTTTTTAAAGCAGAACTACAATGATCCAACAGTTTTGATATAATTTTTTAAATCTCAGACCAACCTTAAAGATCATCTTCTGTTACTATCCAGCATATATCCAAGTTTACATATAAAGAGAAGTTGTACATTGTTAATTACATTAGATAGATGTTATTTAAAGGGTAACAACAGTAAGAGTTACTATTATTTTGTTGGGAAAGAGAATTATTAGAGAATTATCACCGTCCCCTCATATGCTTTGCTCTCATTAGTTCCCATATAACCACTCCTAAAGAGATGGAACATACAAAGAAAGTTTTCACAGAATAAATGCTTTATTAGCAATTGGAAAAGTACTGTTAATCTTCACTTGTAAAAATCTGAAGTACCTAGTAGTGTCACCAAGCTATAACATTTATATACAACTTTGCTTATATTTTAAAGCTTTGTTGATTAGAATTGCTGTAAGAATTGTATCTTGCTTATACAAATACACATGACATGCAGCCAAACAGGCACCTACTGGCAGTTTAAAAATATTTTCTTTATATAATGAAAACAATTGATTTACTACATTTGCTTCTGATACATCAGCTTACCTCCTTATGCATAAAATACAAATGAAAATGAATGAGAAATGAAAATAATAGCATACTGCATTTTTCTTACCAATTCTCATTTTGACTTGGGCTAGCAAGTTGATATGCGGCAGGTAGATATTTTTTGGAGGTAGGACCAGACAAGTTAATGTAGTGTCTTCTATCTGCTGTTCAATTGGTTCTCCACATAGAAAAATCTATGAAAACACACGTTTTGTAAAATTAAATTATTTAAGGCAAATTAAATAGCATTTTGAAAAGGTAAGTTAGACACTTGCAAAATCCTGGAATTCTACTGCGTCTCATCAAAGTGCACTGGCAAAGGGCCTCATACTCCTGAACTCCCTCACTTCAGTTTGTGATTGCCCTCTTTGCAGAGGGGGAAAGGTCTTTGAGTTTGGTATCAAACAAACAAGAAATAATTTCAATGAACTCTTGATCAGATATATTAGTGTTAGGCTTTGACTTCTAGCAAACTCCCTCAAATCGTGCAGTCATTAGGAAGAGAACTCCTGAGTAACCCCATTACCAGAAAGGAACTGTCACGTCGAAAAAGAAATCTGACATCCAACAAAGGCCAGAAAAGAAAAAAAAATAACATTGCAAGTGTGGACCAGTTAAACTTTTCACTCATGGAAATAAGGCAATGAGGACATGCTGCAAGCTGTAAGTCTCTTGAGGTTAGCAAGTTTCACAAGTGGTAGGCTAGAAGTCTGAAGTTATTTACCTAATTCTTCATCACTTTGGGGAATGAATATTCCAACAGATTAAACTACTGTATTAGGAAATATGAGAAAAGAATTTGACTGGAGCTTTTCTTTAGAAACTGTATCAAAAAGGCCTGAGATTGCAGAAGGGTGTATATATTTTTGAACCACAAAATAAGCAAATAGTATATTACTATACAGTCCTCTTATAGTTTTCATCAACATATACTCACTGCTTTAAGAGTAAGTTCATGCGCCAAAATTAATAAGTTTAATGGTTCTGCCGCGGAAGAGTGATGTTCTGTGTCCTCTTCTGTTTGCTGTGTGAATATATCTGCCAGCAGAAGCATACTTTTCACAAGGGTCAAAGAAGCTGGAGGGGAAATAAATGTCTCCTCTTGGAGTAAACTGATGATATTCTGTTTGAACATAGATAACATAAACTGAAGTGGTTACTGCTTTTGCTGTCTGTTTATAGGAACAAATCACACAAAGTGAAAACAATCTACTTCCAATGCAACGTTTCAAGTTCATTTCATCCTGGCATCGGCTGCTCTGACTCTACACAGAGATGTATCAAACAAAAGCATAAACATTTCCAGTGTTGTGTTCAAACCTGCAGAAGTTGTTTAATTCCTGCCACAGGATGTCTTTCTTGCAGGTCAAGAATAGCAGCTTGCACCATCATATCAGCCTGAGTCTCAATATCACCAAAGGCTTCTGCTTCTAGTATTACTTCTCTTATCAGACTCCTGTGTTCAGCCATATCATTTTCTAAAAGAAGGAAGTATATGAACAGTGAAAATACAATAGAAATTATTTTACAGTATCTTTTCCTTCCATTTTTAAAAAGTCACTTCCACACTAAAAGAATTACTGAAAATCAGACATCAAAGACTCCACATTTACTGTTATATTCCATCACATTTGCTCTCAAAACAAAGATTTATTTTAAAACTGTTAATACTGTAAATTCATCCAGATGTGCCCTTTATGTGCAAGTCATCAGCATCAGTAATTAGAATTTTGCAAATCAGATGTCCTTCGCATCCATACTTCTATATATTCAAACATCTGATTTTAGTTATCACTCCGGACAGTAACAGCTTTCACAGGAATTGCTCAGGAGAGATTAAGACCAAAGTCTGGCTACAGACCTAGACTCTAATTTTGATACTTGAGTCAGCTTCAGAGTTGATATTAAATTTATAGGACTAAGGAAGGAAAAACATTTTCATTTGTAATCAAACTGCAATAAATATATTCTGTAGTATCTTACTTAAATTCTTAGAAATAAAAGAATCTGGAACATGACATTTTCATTTATAGGAGATATAAAAGGTAAAAAAATAAAAGTATTTGAGGTTTTAAAAACTTGAATAAGTAGCAGCAGTAAGCTTTTTTAAAAGAAGCATACCTATTTAGCTTAAATATACAGGAACATTTGAAACTTTTTGTTGCACAAGTCATTTATCAAAAGGTAATAATCATTAGATGAACATTAGCACAATGTTTTTTGCTTATATGCTATAGGGAGAGATTATACTCAGAAAAACATTTTCCTTGCTGCCTTGGATGAATTAAATGCAAATAATTGCTCAGTGATAATAAATCCCAGGAATTAATATTAGTATTTTTTTTGTGAATAAAAATTGAGTTTGAATAGGCTCACTTTCCTATTATAGTAAGTCTAAAGCCAAAAACAGTAATACCTTCCATATCACCAATGCCACATACGTGTGATAGTAGTGCAGACACTAACATCGTACGACACCTTAGCCATAGACGTATGTTCATATGATCTTGTGCTACCACACTGTGAGGCAGTTGAACATCTTCATTGTAAGAATCCTAATAATTTCCAAGAGCAAGAGAAGTGTTACACTCTGAGTCAACTACTTCACTACAAATGAGGCTTTGCTCAATTCAGTATAGTTATCAGTCTACCATAAATCAAAATAACATAAATATACTACAAATAATATAATTGTAACCAAAAGTTTACTTGAAGGTTAGATGCATTGTTTTTGAATAACAGGCGTCCACTTATTATTTAAATTAAAATCTACAGAAAAATTGAAATGTAAAAAAATTAGAATTAAACCAGCTTTTGTGGGAGGGTCCATAAATATATCCCTGTAGTATACGTATGAGTGAAAAGCACAGGATTAATGGAAGCACTGCATGATGAACAGCTCACAGAGAATAACTTTAAGAGTTCAAACTTAGGAAATACTGTGAGTAACCGCTTCTTAAGATTAAACCCATTACAGAGAGGTTTTCCTTTATTCCTCTCAAACAGGACCATCACACAAAACTCTGAGGCACAAAATGGGCTATTCTGGTAGCAGAGCAGGGAAACAACAACTTCTAGCACCTCACCAGTCATTAGAACCAAAAACGAACGTGGCATAGTACTGGAAACGATTGGGAGAGCTCTCACTGCAGCTCCCTGTGCCACCTTCACATATTATAAACAGTCTTTCTATTACTAAAGCTCTACAGTCCACATGCTACAAGTTTGTGCCAGCACGCAATAAAACTGCACTGCACAACCTGTGTTTTACTTGTACAAAAGATCATCATGAATGACTTGCCATTAGCCACAACTCAGATACTGGGCTACGGGTCAGGCCTAAGGAAGTGTTAGGTCCTAGGCTCTGTGAGACCAAGTGCAGAAAGACAGAAGACCCTGATATACAACACAGACATAGAATGACCACAGCGCATGTAAGAAAAAACAGTCTCATGTCGTATATGTTATAACATTTGGCCTCACCACACAGCTGCTCTGTCCATGGGAGTCAGTTTGATTTACTGTGCACTTGAGAGCGGGTGAATGTGTGGTGTATGAGGAAGAGGTTTTGAACATTGGCTTTCCAACATTGTGCCTATGCGTTAAGACAACAGAATTCAGTCAAAATCTTGCTGCAGTAGGATCACAGCAATGACAGGAACTGGTCTGGCTGGCTGTTCGAAAGAGGATACTCTGAAGTAGGTCTTCACAAAAAAAAATCTAAAATATCGTGAGTAATACAAAGTTTTCAGTTGATAGCTCTGCTTTTCCCTTTTCTGTTTTTTTTAAGAGAGTTTAGAAGCAAAGGAAAACTTTCAATGCTGGCATTTAAAAGAATCCAAATGAAAAATGTAAATCCCAACTGACATACAAATTAAAATGGTGATCACAGAGATATATTAAATATACTACCGACAAGCTGGTAACTGAAGCATATCAGGTATCATTGTGTCCCCAGATTAACTGTAACCATGTAATACGGATAACTGTTATGTTCTAATATTCTGAAAATTACTCACCACTGCATGCAAGATTTCATATACTAAAAAAAATTTTTAAAGTATATTTACACATACCAAATATCCCCCTCCTTGTTTTTTTTCTTGAAAATGTGTCACCGTCATCTTAAAAATGTCTGCATCTTGGAGAAGTCGAATTGCAGAGAAAGTCAAAGCAACACTGTGATATAGAACAATATTATTGAAAAACACAAATTATATTTGTCATTTTATACTCTCATTATAATAGATCCTTCACTTCTGACTACAAGTCAGAAATGTTGCATCAGCAGTTATCCATTAATTTTGGCTTCATTAGAAAAAAAAGAAACTGCATAGAGCATATTCACTGAATTTGTAGGCATTGCAGTATGACGTGAGAACACACAGCAGCAAGAGGCAAGGTCTTGCCAGAGACAGACATAACCAGATAATAATGCATAAGCCAGGACACAGCGTCTTCAGTTGGGAGTAATCAGAACAGAACTCCACTCTCAGTTCCAGGTATACACCTTTCTTCGGGATGGACTTTTACAAATTAGAAGATGCAAAAATACTAGAAAGGACCAAATATATTGGGAAGAGTTCTGTACCTCATCCAAAACCAGAGAAGTAAGAAAACATTCTCCTCCTTAAAGCCTTTCCAGGTTATATGTTAAGCCTTTTGTTAAATCCCTACGGCCTAACTCTCACAGGATCTTAGTAAGCACAATCATCCCAAAATTGAGCTGGGTGCTATCCTTAGATAACCTCTTCAGTAAGCAATCCCATGATATTGAGTCTGCTGCCCCTCCTTTTCCCACTCCCTGCACCACCATAAATCCTTTCTAACTCCAAACAGCATCTAGATTGATATACACATTATTAGGGCTAGTGCAGTACTAAACTAGACCCCATATTTTCAAAAACTGTGAGTTGGGACCCCAAAATATTGTCATATTTCTTAAGACACTTACTACTAGGCTTTTTTCCCTTATATATTGTCTTTTTGAAACTTTCAGATACACAGTTCAATTTTCATGACATCTATACAAATGTTTAGCCTTAATGCAACACTGTGAAACAAAATATTTTCAGGATATGAAGACATTTGCGAAACCAGCTGTGAAAATCTTTCATAATAGGATTTGTTGCCCACAGAACACGCTGCTCAGGATGTTCTGAGAAGAACTACAAGACCTAATGTCTCATGGGTATCAGTTTTCCATCTCTGAATTGGACATTTTTCCCTACGTTTGTAAATGTCTACTTTCCTACCTCTTTTCTAAAACATTTCGGTTTTTTGCAATACTGCTTTTATTCCTTACCCACTGAAACGTATCCTCCTAATGATGCAAAAGTTACCTGAGAGCACCCCTAGCTCATCTGTAAAGGACTTTTTGTTTGTTTAAAATTTATAACCCAAATTCTTATCTGTGCTGATGTTTCCCTCTACATAGGTCTGGCTGCTATGAAGTAAAAGAAACACATAATTTATAGACGCCTTGAGTCCTTTTGGCACTGCCAGAATAGTGTAAAGAGCTTTTACGGTAAGAGGGGTTCAGGCTTTGCGTGAATTTACTGCTTTTGAGAAGTGCTAGATTAGTTGCCCTATAGGCAAAGTTCTTGATTTATATACAAAACTGACAGAACAACAGCTGCATTACTCTAAAATTACTCGCATTATTCTGCCAACAGCTCTCCACATATGGGATGTATAACCTCTAGAGGTTAGAGGGTAGTTAAAATCTTCCTGCCATTTCCAATTCTGTTCTGCTTGTTGTTTTTTTGTGATATAGAACTGAATGGATTACATCAATTCAGCACAAATAGACCCCAAAGTAACAATAACCAAAACCGTTAATATCTTGCCTTTCAGCTCCTAGAATTTAATCCTCATGAGTCTCCTTCATCATCCCTTTACCTCAGTTTTATTCAACAAAATAAAACCAAAATAAATCAATGTTGAATTTGATGATAACCTTTTCTCTAACAATGAAAAAGATGAAACAAACTGCTTATAAAAACAAAACACACAGAAAGGGTACTGCAATCCTATCTCCTTTCTTTTTATTAAGGAGAGTTTTTCCTCTGAAACAAGGCATCCGAGTTAAAATTAGAGCAAAAACTGACATTTTTCAAAACCCTGTTTGAGACGCTATGGCTAACATCTCTCAAGTAAGATGCAGAAGATGCAGTACCAAAGCATACATACAGGCTTTTAAGAAATATTAACCTTACGTTCTGAGCACCACTGTGTCCAGTTAACTTCTGCTGCCAGCCTTTAGCAGTTCTGAAAAGGAGGCCACTTTTACTTACATGCTTACATACAAATTTCACCAGTAAAATGTAGACCACAAGCCCAAATGTTTAAATATATGTATAATTTTAAACACTAATATATTCAAATAAGCAGACAAGCACGTATTTGGGTAACTAGACACCTCACGTATGTAGGGTGGACACCATGTCAGTAGTCTCACTGAGATCAATCGTATTATTTCTATACATAAAATTATTCTCAGGCATAATTTTTTTGCAGGACAGAGGCTATAATGTAGAAGTTTCCCTTGATGAAATTTTTGTGACTTTCTTTTGCTGTCAACAAGAGTGATGTGTCTATATATTTCCCTTGACAAAATACACATCCTTTTATCAGCTGAATCAGAAAATGACAAGATGATCAAAACTGGAAAGCACAGCTGACTATAACAATTTCACCACTAAGTCATTTCACCAAAGGAAAAAAATGATGAATTTCTGTAATATCATGCAAAGCTTGATTTCTAGGCTGGCAGGCAGGAAACATTCAGCTGTCTGAAGGAATGTTTCATTTGTATCTGAGGCAAATTTATCAGCAGTTCCCATGGATGGCAATGCAATAAAATTGTAAAATAGGGGGGAAAAAAAACCCAAACCCTTGGTTATTTTTTTTTTCTGCTACCTGACCACTCACAATATATAAAGCCCATTACAGACACATCAAAAATTTGTGAGCCCCAAAAATTAATCCATAAAATGCTTGACATCCATTGGAACCCTTGATACTGTAAAAAAGTTTCTTCAATCTGAGACAAGGTATAAGTCAAGTGAGAATTCACACACTAGAATATAACTCAATGTCAACTGTGCTGAAAACTGGCTTGCACACTGGAACCAGTTTAGCAGGGTGAAGTCAGAACTCTCTACTAACACAGCTTTACTGAGTTCAGTATTGAGCTAACCTCCGTCTCTTCACATGATATCACACGAATCTGAGTACTGCTCCTTAGTTGAAACTACTAAGAGAGCTTTATAAAGTTAAAACGGCACTCAAAAACATGATGAGGTTACTGTCCAGCGTTCTGTTGTTTTCTCTTTATTTATGGCAAACTTTTCTCATTCAAAACTCCAGAATGAATGAATATTTCATGATGGCAAACGTCCCCAGGTAGTCTACAAGATGTTACTCCCCATCTTCACTAAACACATTACTAGCCATGATATAAAGTAACCATAGTCCTAATGTCTGAACTTTTAGGAAACTTCTACCTTTTAAAATAATATTAAAAAAATGCAGGAAAAAGACCCTGCTGCAGTACTCTTTTACTGTTTCTGGTTCACTAGTCTACACCGCACTGTGCAGCTGCTATCCTTATAATTTTTTTCTATTCTTGTAGCATCGCAGCTAAAAAGGAACGTGCTACTTAAATACTAACTGATTTGGAACGTTGTTCATTCTCCCAAGTTACCTGGGAGGAGTAGGAGAAGCTTGCCTTTGATATGGAAGAAAACATTTAGCTTTTGTTAATCGGGTAAAAAGGCAAAAAAAACCCCTTGAGACTGGCTCATCTACTGGCCACCCAAATCACCTACCACTTTGCCAGTAAGAGTGTTCAAACAGTCTTCACCGGTAAGATTATACCAACAATAAAAGAAGAGTAATTTTGCTTTTTGGTTTGTGCTTAACATAAATGTATGCTCTACTGTAATAATTTTGTTGGGTCTAGCCAGACCACATTTAACAAAAGTAACAAAACACTGATTACATCCTACCTAACCTCAATCTAATCTGACAATTGACAGTGCCATACCTCTATAAACTGTACCTCTAGTTAAAAACTTTTACGCTCAAAAACTTTTCAATTTAATAGAAAACTGGATTTAAAAAAAAGAGTTGAACAGTAATAAAGAAAATATATTGTTAAATATATTATTCTTCTTATAGAAATTAATTTAATATTACAGGTATGCTTAGGAAAACAATTCTGCTAGGTGAAAGACCAAAATGATGTTCTGAAAATAACATCTACAAAGAGTTTATATGTTTGTGTATGACCTATATGCTCAAAGAACAGCACAGTCATGACTTCATGAAGTTCCTCCAAAGGCACTCAGAACCTCAGAAAAATCTCAGAATTTGGATATGATAATTCAGAAGAAATATCTGGTAGATCATAGGAATGCAATAGTATTCCACACCCTATCATTAACAATCTTACAAAATTTATTCTAATATATTAGAGCTACATCAATGCTTTAAAAAATTATAAAATATAATATGAACATTTTAACCTGACAGCAATGAGCATATCAGGAGAAAATATTCCACAAGGACAGTAACATAGGGCATTTTAGAACAAAGTAGAACTCAGTAATTCAGGAATAACAAGACCAATGTTCTCTGCTGTACACTTTAAAATTATAACAAAAGTATGACCAAACATATCCAGACTTTTACTTTAATAAAACATTAAACCTTGCAGGTTTTTCTTTGATTTCATGTAAGACAGCATCATAAAACCACCTCATAGAAAAAGCATAGGTCAGTAACTAATGATTTTTTAAAAAGAAAACTAAAGCAATAATAAAAAAGAAATCCCCTGTATAACTCACATTCCTGGACATGTATGGGTTTATTAAGGTTGGTTGCTAAGAACTAAAATATTTATGCAACTCTGTAGACACAAAAGATTCAAAGAAAAGATTGCTAGATTTATTTTTTTATCTTCCATATTTCAAGCTGTACAATGTGCAGATGTTCACAATACTATTTACCTGAAAGCTGCTTGATGCCTTTGCTGAGAAATAGCTGCAAGTTGAAGCTTGGCCTCAATAACAGCCTCTAATTCTTCAGCAGAACACCAGGAAATCTTCCCATCATATTTGTCCTGTGTGTTCTGCACAAGACACTTAAGATTTTCTTCAGCTTCTGTCAATAAAATCCCCTGCAGAAGGACATAGCATCATATGATTTCAATAAATGATGCAAGAAAAGGAAAATTTCTTAAAAGGTATTCTAGTCTGTTATGCCCTATTACCACCACATCTTGAAATAAATCAACCTGAATACAATATGCCTTTTCTATAAGTAGTGGAGGGGCTTAACTGTGATTTTTGCAGGTTTATAAATGTTGAAACCAGCAGCATCTTAATTGTGCCTTTACTATTGTAATTTATGCTTAGCTAAATTATACATTGAAAAAGAGTATTTTATGGCTTAGAAACATTACTCAATAATTTTTCATTCCCATCTTTCTTATAGCTACACTTGATAACTTTATACTATACTTTCTATTATACTTAGCGATTTAAACAATAAAATATTAAAATACAATATTAAAGATGTAGCAAGAAGCGTTATATTCTTTTCTAACTATATTTTGACAGAATCCTTGAGTGCAGTGTGTATCTATGTTCAGTTGTTCATCCCAAGTTCAACCGTAACTTACAGTGCCTCCACTAAAAAAGCTGCAAGCATCTGAGAAAGCCGAAACTAAATCTGAAAGAAATTTCCTTTTAAATAAAAGTTCAATCATGGAACTTTCAGTAGAATTTAAAAAGAAATCAAAAGTTTGTATCATTTGATCTCTTTTTGGGCCAGTTTCCTCAATGAATTCCCAGCTCTACTTGAAAGACTAGACTGGTAAAGAAAAGTCAGAAGGGTTAGGCATATAATATCCTTCTTAAGAAGAGCCCCATTCAAATTTAATTCAACATTTCTTTTTCAGTTATTTTCACAATGCTATTTTCAAGTTATTTTCAAGCTATACCAGAACTTTCTAGTCTGCGGCATATAGCAATTGCCACATAAATTAATTCCCCGTTTCTCCAGATGTATCTTGCACATCTCTATCTGTAACAATGGCCAGAACGAGATATTTCCAAAGTGGAAGCCCTCAAGAAAGAAGAATATGCCCTCAATTTTTAGCTTATCTTGATGTGAAATGGTCAAGCAGGAAGTTAAAATTTTAAGAAAAAACTTAAAGAAACCAAACAAGCTAAAAAGCTGTGGTATGCTTTTTCCAAAGAAAAGTGTCAGAAAAAAGAGGATGAAAATTTTGAAAGAATGGTCCAACGAACATATCTAATGGAATTTTTTTCCTCACTTATTAGTCTTTTCTTTATCTTTTCCAGTAAGTTGGCTGCATTTAGGTAGGTGGCATTTACTGTAAAAGCATGTCAGGGTTCAGTACTTTTCTGTGAAAATGTTAACAGTATCTATTTTACTTAACCATAACCCTGATGATGCAATTCTTTCAAGGTATAGAACAAACTAGTTGAATGATTTGCTCATAAAACATTTTGGATATGGTACAGAATTCATTTCTACTTAATTGTAGAGCACACTGCTCCATCAAAGAGTCTCTGAACTGTTCTACCAGGGCTGTCTCTGAAGGCAGACAATTTTATTCTTCAAATCTCATTCAGTCCTTACCTTCGACACTAAAACAGTCATACTGACATATGTTTGTGACAATATCTCACATGGACATTTCTATAGCAGAAACTAGACGGTAACCACTAGAAGTATTTGAAAAAGTGCACTGAACCACCAAGACTTCATCTATGGCTAGTAAGATTAGAATCAGATCAGAAACAGAATTTTCTAGTCCCCTTATTCATGCCAGCCTCCCATCATAATTCCTATTACGTTGAAAACATTTGCCATGTTTTCACAACAGCCAACAATTTCTTAAATCTTTTTTCCTAAACAAGAAGATTACCTTCAACATGGCTATGTTTAATTCACCTTTACAGTCAACCAGCTGCACCATTGTGCCTCTTGGTTCCCGTTGTCTTGAATTCATGTTAACATCAACTGTAAAATACATTTCAAGTGAAATTTCAGATAACAGAAGCAGAACCAAAACATTCTCAGTAATTTGAAGAACACACACCTTTTTTCTGCCTTTATCTTTGAGACTCTCAATAGTAAAATAAGTGAGCAAGAACAGAAGACAGCTCCAATTTGAGATATTAGCAAAAAAAAAAAAAAAAAAAGGAAAAATCTTAATGCTTATTCTTTCAATAATGACTGATTTTTTCGGCAATATTTGATATGAACATTGTTTAAAGTATGACAAGTTTCTGCATATACAGTTGTTAAAAGTGAAAACCTACATCTGAAATAAGTTGCAGAATAAACTCACTTTTTTACCATCCTTATAAATTACCTTTTGTACTTGACACCATAGTTCTTCTTGGCTTCCTCAAGCTTTTGTTATCAATAGAATAGATGCATTTTTCCACTTTTTCAGGTATATTATTTATTGTGGCAGAAAGGGAAATGATGAAATTCATTTTGACTAAGGCTAATTTATTCATAATTTGTTGGCTGAACAGTGGAACCATTGCTGAAGACAGACTCCAGTTAAATATGTCTTCCAGTACCTAAAACAAAGGTAATAATTGGAAATAGTTTGGAATGACATATTTTACATTTTTGTTGTTCAAGGCATATTCTGCTTCTATTAATAACAGTGTTTATCAACATACAATAAACATGACAAATATTAGTAACATGCTCTTAGTCATTATGGAGGAGTTTCTGTTTTCCTTTCCAAACTTAATTCACCCCCTAGTAGCACTTGCTAGAGCCTCAGTGACCATTTTTCCAGCAGAAGGTGCATCTATGATACTACAGCTATTCCTCTGTGTGGGTTTTAGTTTTTTGCATTGTCCATAGCGCTCTTTGAGCTAAGATGGTCACAAAAAGTAGGCAGGTAAATCTGTAATTCAGAAACCACAGTTCAAAACAAGCTCTGTCTCTACAGTTGACCCGAACTGGGAAGATCAGCAAGGAGAAAAATTCTTCTATCACACCATTCTAGCATATTTCACAGAATCTTTTCATTAATTATTATTCCATCCCTCTTTTATCCTGAGTTTAATATTCTCACTTTATATTAACAGATTTAGAAGTAGAAAGTCTAAACAGCTTTGCAAATTCATGTGTGTTCAAATCACAAGCTCAAATAAAACAGCTTCAAAATAAGTCTGAAACAAGTGGAAACACCTGTGTTAATGAATCAAAAGCTGTCAAAATAGAAATCTCATTTCTGTTTTCTAATATCAGCTGCTGTAAGAGACACACAAGCTTAGTATACATGAAAGAGATGAGAGTGGAGAAAAAAAGTGGTGCCGTCTTCTATTTTATCAGTTTGTTTGTATGGTACAATTCTTATGCACATTCTGCTAACATTTACCCCTACTATCTCAATGAATCTCTCACAAAGCAAGAGATAAAGATTAAAAATGAAAAACAAAAAAGAAGTAATTGATGAACATGCAATTAACTAAAATGTCGAATGGTTATTAATTAGTTAGCTTACAGACCCCCTTCTTTTTTCAAAAATGGACTTCAGCCCCAGTCTGAACTAGGACAAACCTATGAAGATAGCTCTAATAGAAATAATAAGATTAGATGGAGTTCTTGGTGCTTTAAGCATGATGGATAAATGTCAAACTCTACACAGCATGATGAAAACTGAGTTTACTAGCATGCTTTGCTCAGACAAGTCACACATTGGCACATATTAGTTTTCCCATCTGAAAAATGGTGACAATGGTACTTTCTTCTCCCTTGAGAGGGAGGCCATAAAACTGAAAATTTATGAACTGTCTAGCGTTAAAGCTTGAACTTTTTCAGAACATTGGGGTTTTTTTTTTTCTTACCTGTAAATTTGTAACAGCCAGGAGAGATTTTGAGGAGTCAAATTTCTGAAAGGCCTGTAAAAGGGACAAACCCCAAAATAAATAATATGTTTCAATGTGAGCATAAAATGAAAGTGAGTTAACAGAGCAGTGGACAAGTGTAGTGCATTTCTGGCTATACTTTGAGGGCTCTAAAAATACCAACAATTACTTGGCTTCTGTGGGCTTTTCATTTTTGAACCCTAGCCCTAGATCCAGACCTATCCCTACACCTCCTATGCCATTCAGTGGGACACTTCAATGTGAAGCAAGGGAAGAAAAAGGCAGAAGATGTAAACCAACCAACGAAAATCCTCATCCAAATTCTATGGGCTCTACAGACACCAACTGTGACTTGCCTTCTGTGTTCTTCATATTTCTGAATCCCAAACTTAACCTCTGGCTCAACCTCCCCTTGAGAGCTCTGAAAACAACAGTTATTCCTTGGCTCACATGTACTTCAATTTTCTGAACTCTAACCATGATTCCAGCCCTTGCCCAAAAGCCCTTTACTTTTTCACCAGCAGACAGATTTGTGTACTGAGGGGAAGGAAAAGGCAGAGATGAAGATCATTGCCCTCATCCTAACTGAGAACTCTACAAGCAACTATCACTTGGTTTCTTTGGGCTTAACTTTTATTAACCCTAACCCTAACTCCACTGCAGGCCTAGCCCTGAACCACCTCTGTCATTCCCAGGTACATTGAGGCTTTCTCCTTACTCTAAGAGCTGCACAAAAAAACAGCAATCACTTACCTTCTACCTGCTTCACACCCTAACCTAAGCCCTAACTCGGTACCTCCTCTGCTATTCACCCAAATACCCATCTGTTAACCTAGAGTTAGAGAAAGACAGGTGACAAAATTGAACCCTAGACCTCATCCCAACTCTGCAAGCTCTTCAAACACCAATAAACAAATTAAGGAAAGCACTAAAACATGTATTTTAACTCCATTAGCATCAGTAAGGATTAAATGCATTCCTTGGCGTGACCATGAACAGCAGCTTTGCAGAATCACTTCCAGTAAGGGTGCTCATAACTCTTTATGGCTCAACCTAGAGAGGATGTAATATAGCTATTGCTCTAAGGAAAAACACCAGACTTCAGTTTCTTATCTTCCCATGCAGTTAATATGAAAATGTCACTCTGATTTGTTGGCTACTGCCAAAAAAGATAGCCCTGCTCTAGTTCCCAGCCACAAACCTCTGCCACTTTGTGCTGGTTCTAGCCATTGTGAGGCTGCAGAGTAAGGTCAGTCAAACTGCTGACCAGCTGGAAACTCAAATTCAGGGTGTGCGGTGGGTTAATTTCCCTTCAAACCAGCTCATTAAACTCCATTTGCTCTGCAGTTCTAGCTTCACTGTATTCAACATAGGTTAGGGGAAGAAAATGTGAAATCATGGAGGTGGATTAGGAATTCCCCTTTCTTCATGAGCCTGTAGTTACCCCTAGATTAGAAACATTATTTTACTCCATCTACCAGGTGTGACTGAACAATCAAGGGAAATACATGCTGTTATCAAAAAGGGGTGGCCCTACGTTCCCCACCATTCCTCTATCACATGTTCAATACAGCTCCCTAGCGCTGGCACAAGTACTTTGTTGGGGGGTGAAGCCTATGTAAAAGCACCACCCAGATAAGTGAGACCTTGACTACATCTGCCCAGCTTTAACTCACTATATGATTCCGGGATGTGCTGTGAAAGCAAGGAAAGGATAGATAATTATCATGGCAGAGGCCTTCCCAAAAGGTCTGGACTTTGTCTGCCCTGCACTAATGATTTAGATATGAAAGAAACAAAGAAGCACAGGTGAACTGTTAACAGCTTTATATCCTTGTAACATATTAGTGACACAGGTAAGATCACTAAGCGGCTTTAGATCTGGAGAACCCTGCTTACACTCACCAGGCCTAATCCTGTTTTGCTGACTTGCATTCCCAGGTTGACCTCGGACTTGCCTGATCCCCGACCTGCCAGGTCACCACAGACTTGCCTGATGACCTGAAGTCTTGGTTGAACCTGGCTACCACGCCAGGACCTGCCTTGCTTGCCGCACTCAGGGGTGGTGGGATGAGGCACTGGCTGGGGGGGCCCCTGCCCTGTCGGCCCTGGGACCCCCTGTGACTCCCGGCTCCCCAGCCATGAGGGAGCAGCCTGCCCTCGCTGCACTGCAGCAATAAACAACGAGCCCATTGGCAGCTTACGCTGATTGTCTAAATTAGAAAGCAATCAACTGGGAAAACAACAGCCCCTGTGTGTAACACGTCCACCAGCATCCCACATCACCCAGGAGGATGAGCCTGAGGTGGAAGCACTACACGTAAAGGGCAATCCACTAGCCAGGACTCAGACATGTCGAGCAGCTGCAGCAAGTGTCTGGCTCCCCCAGGACCATGGTGCCAGTCCCAGGTGGATGGGGCCATGATTGCTCTGTTCTGCATCGAGCCTCTGTGGCAGAACAGATATCGCTATCCTCCTGCTACACCCATTCTGCTTAGTAAATAAAATCTAAAATTTGTGTCACAGAGTGGTGCTGGTTCAGCTCTTCCGGCTACCTCACCCCTAAATTCCCCTGTGACACACACACATGACCACAGAGTCAGTGGACTGAGGAACTGACCTGGCTGAACACTCTCTGTTCTCCCAAAGGTTAGCTTCAGTAAGTCAGTATAATTAGAACTAGACTCCAAAAACCTTTGGATGTGACAAAATTTTAAATAAGCAAACCATATAGTTGTCATTGTTAAAAAAAAATCAAAGAGCACAGGGCCATATACAGTACCGAAACCTACATCTGTCTTCCAAAACTGATCGGATTCCAGGATAACAACATCCTTCTTAAAGGAACTAGCTTTTTCTACTGTACAGAAGCAAAACCAAATACATACATTCGAAAAATAAGACATTCACTTGGTAACAATATATGGCTTTTTTTTAAATAGAGAAAACATTAACTACTCTTCCACAATTATTCTAACCCCCAACTGACAAACAACAGGAGTATTCAGGGCATCAGATCTGAACACCAGAATATAATACTATATATAGAAAGCTACACATACTAACATGTACTCCTTATCTGAGGCTGTGTAAAAGGATTATTGATAGCAATCTAAAATATTACAAAATCAAGTAATGCCAACATCAATGTATACATTCTATGCATTACAATTATTTATATACATTGTATATAAATATATAAAGTATATAAACCATGTAAAGCATATAAATATACACATAAAATATATATATCTATAAATTAAGTGTATATATACTTTACAAGAAAGGGAGAAAATAATGAAGTCAGTGGGAATTTTGCATTCATTTACAACAGCACTCTATCAATTCTATCAGTTCTATCAATACTTTTTATGTCTAAATATGAAATCATACATTTTTTTTCAACAGTTGTATCTGTGTAACCCATTGTATAAAACAGATGGCACGTACTTCATGAAGATTTTCAAAATTTATTTTTCTCTTTGCTGTTCAGTGAGAGAAATTCATCTCATTCAATGTCTACTATTTAACCTGCCTATTAAAAGAGACAGGAATTTTAGGATTTTTTAACAATATGTAATAACTTTCAGACTTGGGATATTTGTAGTTTCATGAAGAGAACCAAGTGTTATATAGTTCAATGCTATCGTTTCGTAGTCTTTACCTTCTTTTCCTCAATTTGCCTGTAGCCTGCAGGTATTTTCCATGGAATTCTTTCACCGCAATTAAGCAAACACAGTTCATGAAAGGCCTCCGTAAAAAATCCTATATCTGTAAGTACTTTAATCTATGAACAAATAAGAGATGCTTTGATTTAAATTATTTTCAGTTATTCCTTTTGCTCAAAATAAAATGTATTAACAGGTAGTCGTCAAGTCGATTTGGCTATTGAAATAATATGTTGATGGAGTATGTTATTCAATGGTAAGGAATCTGTTATGTTTTTTAACTAAATAAATGAAATGTCAAAGATGGGTCTTTCACCTTTAAACACAAAAAAGTCAAAAAACACACACATTCTTCAAAAACTTGTTCTGATGAAGAAAAAGTCGTAATTCATCTGGTTAGAAGATGGAGTGAAAATTGAAGATCAGCCCTTTATCAGTATCTGTTTACTCACCCAGTTTCCATAACCCATATCAGCATTTCCTGAAAATATCTAAATCCTACAAAAAGACTTTAACTCTCACTACAAGTTACATTCCTTTAAAAAATCGCATGGGATTAAAAAAAAAAAAACATAAGCGCATGCCATCATGATACTGGTAACAAATAGGGAAGTGAATATTACAGTATAAAAATTATTTAAATTTTGTACTTAAGAAAATATTTTTTCTTAAATATTCTTAAATATATTTCTCTCAGTGGAACAAGAGAAAAAGTGTCAAGTAAAAAGGTTGGATCTAAGAGGGAAGATCTTATGACTACATTTTTAAAGAGATTGCTTGATAAATGGAGAATAAAAATACATGATGGAGGTGTTTAACAGTCTCTGTAAACATTAACAATAGAACTAAAGAACCCATTACTAAAATTAAGACTATAAATAATAATAGCATTTATAAAGTAGTCCTACTCTATAGTCCATTGAGCTAAGAAACACTGAGCAACAGTTGAATTTTAAAGCATTTCTTTTGCAGTTCATAGTAGGGATATACATATGAAGAAATATTAGATCAACTACGTTTAACAAAAAAGTGAAAAGCTTAGTTCAAATACAATATGCTGTGTGAATCAGAAAGTTTCTTTGATTACCTTAAAGATTCTTCCTTCAATACATTTAGCTGGGTCCTGGCAAATCTCAGAAACAAAGTATTCGTACAATGTGAACAGTGGTAAAATCTGTAGGAAAATATTAGGTGATCTAGTCATAAATGCCATAATGGGTACAATTACATGTATATTGCAATTATATGTCACAAATATATAGGATAATATAGTAGTACTGCTGTCACCGCCACAGGGCAGGATACCATCATTTCTTCTTCTCTTCTGTTCCAGAAGGATGACTATTTTACAGCACTCTTCAGCTGGCTAAAGCTAGCCCCTAATTCTTTAGTGCTATCTTATATGTGATTCTGAAAGTAGAATATAAAGTTTTCTCCAAATGATCCTCTTGGTTCAAGTTTGTTTACCATACTGCTGCTATGTACGTCTACTGGAAATATCTTGATAAAAGGAATTTCTAACAGTGTCTGTGTTTTGATGCCAAAAATTTTTCAATAAAAGAATAATAGGAATTGCATGACCTTTATAAAATAAACACTATAAACACAAGTCTAGCAATTGTTTAACAGAAATTATACTAATTGTAAGGTGAAGTGGATGCTGATGAGGTTTACTGACAAGCTGAGCTGCATTAATTTCAATGGGAATGTTTTTGTAGGGGTAACTAACCAAAAAAAATCTGAGAACTGAGTTTTAGTAAAGTATACTATACACTTTATTTACTATTACATCGATCACAGGACTTTAGAAAACACAGATTCTTTCCTAACAGTTATATTTATTTTTTGAAACTGAAAGAACTTCTAAAATTTAATTACTTCTACATTTTGCTTCATTTTATTTCATAATTTTGCTTCATAAAATGTCCCTCAGCTTGGAAAAAGAAACATCATTGATACTTTCTTGTTAAATGGACTTTTAGTTTTTCATAAAGTAGCTTAATACTTCAGTATTTGGATTACAAATGCTTGAGGGGAAGGTGTTAATTGTACTGATTCAGTTTCCAACCGAAATCTGAAGTGCTTCTAGAAAAAGTCTTTAAAGTCTTTTTTTTAATAAAACTTGAATCTTGATGTATTTTGATTTGAATTTAAGTGTCAAATCAGCTTAGTGCTCACCACTCACAACATTCCTACCCGCTGAACATCGACCTGGATCTATATATTCTGCTGGTACAAGTGCAAAAAGCATCAAAAAATATGCATGATATGTGAAGCTGGCAGTTAAATTAAGTGTCTCAGCCTCCAGTTAACTGCCTGCTCCTTGATCTCACTTGATCTCCCATAGTGAGGGCAATTAGACAAAGCTCAGTGAGCTCCAGTAGAGCAGGATGGAAAGATGCCATATCAGTAGATAAGACAGACAGACGGCCTGAAGTTCCAGAAGAAACTGAACCAGTGAATGGCTTGCTGACAAAAAAAAGAGGAGTAAAGTCTTTCCTCTTCTTCACTAACCACTCCTCCATCTCATACCCTCCAGTCTTTTTCTTACTACCCTGCTGCCAGCCACATGATCCTCTCCCCTTTCTTGCCCTAACTCTGCCACTTGCAGGACCCTTTCATAAGCAGATGCAACTCATTACAGAAGCAAGAAAACTACCCAGTTTTTCTGCTGAGGAGTTTTCTGTCAAGCAGGGAGTTGATTCAGTCATGGGGGTATCCAATAGCCACCGGACATCGTGGAGCATACAGGCCCAAACAGGAAGATAGGCAGAGTCACTCCTTTTCAGTACTAGTGAGGTAGTATCTATGTATTCCAATATACAGCACTGCACCTTTGTAGGAAGTTGGATTAAACTGGAAATGGTGTGTCATTAAGTGGAAGAAATGGTCACGTGGTCAAGTTAAGAATGAAACTGTAAAAAGAGTCCATACAGAGGAAGAAGAGAATATGAGGAGGAGAGGTGTGTGTGAAGGGGGCTTATATTTACTGAATGTGGAAGTAAAATTATTGAAAGCATGCTGGACATATTGCATTTAAAGTAATTCTGAGTACAGTGTATTTCAAACTGTATATAGTAGGGAATTTCCTCCAAAATGCCTAGGAAAGGCAAGTGGACTATGCGTTGTCATCTTCCTGAATAAGCAAGCACCCTGTATGTTCTAAAAATTTTAGGCATCAAGCTATGCCTTTTCTCTCCTTCAGTGTTGCAAAATCAAACCATACAAGTATTTTACCGCAGCTTATATGGCTTCATAAGTATATTCAACACAAAAAGTAAGACATGATGTCCTAAAATTCATTTCTAGTTTTTAAAAGTTATACTTACTATTAAACTTTGTTTTGCACAATGTAGTTCAAACATAAGGAAATTCAGACTTGCAATTACAGTGGAGATATCAGCTCTGTAGCGATCGGAGAACAAGTCAATGCCAGGAATAAGCATATTTATTTCATATTGTGCGTAATCACAGTCAGACGTGGGATGTGGAAGAGAAGCTCTAAACAGGGCCTGAAAGTAATAATAACGAACTGTTTGTAGAAAGAAACATGCATTAGTGGAACACAAAAAAGAAAAACCCAACCCCTGAGACTCATAAAAGACTTCATAAATGAAATTCAGTCAGTGTCCAAGTACCCAGATAAAAATAAGAAAAATCTTAAAAAAAAAAATTTACTGCTTTATGTGTGAACTTGATGTAAAAAGAAACCAGGCGATAAGTAGTCTAAGGTAAGTATTTCATGGCATGGGCAAAAGAGAAAAATTGATCTCGGTGAAGAAAAATAACTATGACAGATTCCTCGCTAAGTACAGTGCAGGTAACGCAAAATCTTGAAAAAGGGCCAATGGCTCTTCTCTTCAATTTTAAGTCACAGCATTCCAAATAAATCTCTGGAAGCTCTGGAAAAAGCCTAGTGAATTAATAGGGAATTCTTGGGACAAGCCTCTGATCAGCAGATAGAAACAATTTAATAGTCTATTCTAACACCTCCAGGATGAAGGAAAATGAAGAGGAAACATCTGTTCAGATAATTTTGGGGAAGTATTCAAATACTTCTTTTTATCAGTCTGAGGATGTCTCATGGAAAATGTCTTCCATCAGAACGAAAAAAAAAATTTTTTACAAGCTAAGAAAGCTAGTTTGATTTTACTCAGCCTTAGGTACTTGCTCAGTCACTACCTCAGATGTTGCTTCTGGGAAAGACCCTGAAGCTTTACAGCCAGGAAAAGGCTGGTTCTGGTCTCCATCGGAGACCAGAACACTGCAGCCATTTCCTTAATGCCCTGAGTTCACAAAGATTTCTGCTACTAACATCAGAAATAACATTTCATCTCTTCAGATAAAAAATACTATAGCAAGAGAGGCCTACATTCTGCCTGCTGCTTTCTCTACACCTTTACAAAAATGTTTAAGTAACCTCTGATACTAATTTTCAGTCGAGAGAGAAATGGCTGTCAGACAAGGCCAGAACCTTGACTACGAAAGTTCTGTTTAGTGAGGAAAGGAACTGAGGACAGAGCCCTGTTCATCATCCTGATATGCTGCAGAATATCCATTTACATACTCAGATCTGAGATGCTAACCAACCTAAAGCCTACCAGAGGAGGAATTTAAATTAGGTTATAAAAGAGCTTTCCAAATACAGGAACAAATTATGGGCTTGAACCTAGCAAGGTACAGTGACAGTAATTGATTATATTTTTCAAGACTCTCACCCAGCAAGCTGCTCCTATCCCAATTAATATCAGACCCACTTCAGTCAGTTGCAATTATTTCTACCATTATACAACAGTAACAAATGGTTACTGCTATTTCTGTCACAAGGAGGAATCAAAATTGCTCAGCTTTGTACCACCAGCAATTACAGTGCTTGCAGCTAGTCAAAATTCTCGTTTACCTCCGATTCTTCAACGCCTTCTCTCTTTGCTGAAATTAACAACATCTTAAACGCGCCCGAGCTCAGGTCACATAATCACAACTGTAACTGACACAAGGCACTAGAAAGGGGAGGTGGTTTGTTTCGGAAGAAGCTAACTAACTTCCTGATGCTGCACTGGGATGAGTTAGCCTTGATCCCGGTGGAGTCTGACTGACAGAAGAACTGAAATTCTTTTTCCAGCATCACTTTTGTTAGTGATGGCTTAAAGCTTCTTTTTAAAAGTAAACTGAAATCACTTTTTTCCTCCACAGTTTATTCCTGAAAGTTTGCTAACTTAATTTTAATGATCTTGTTTTCTTTGTAAATGAAATCCTGGACTGTTATGACTATCCTCTATTTTCAGAAGAAACTTCTTACAGAGTTGAGATTTTGGTATTATAATCCAATATTTTTCAGCGCTAGAAAAGATTCAGAAATATCTTTTCTGTTCTCCTGGTTGAAAACGTATGACAATCTGTGAAGACTCTGTTCAGAACAATGACAGAGAGCACCCTGCTATTTGTTGATGCTGTCCAGGTCTTCTTGAGAGAACACTTCAAGAGAAGAAAAATATATTTGACTGCCAAATTTTTCTGCCATCTTCACCTTTTAGTATTTCATTATTTCTCTGAAAGAAAACTAGCCTCCTACTGAAGTGATAATTTTCAGACTCTAATACAGGAATAATGTTAAAAAACAGAGAGTAAATACAGTCTAATGTGCATAAATTGTCAGCTCCCTCTGATCTGCAGTCCTCCTTTATAATCAAAATAAAAAGAAATATTTTAGCAGAGGGCTATTGAGGAATAAATCTTAAAAGCATTTTGTCAACTTCATGAATTCTAACCGAAATTATATTCTTACCTTAAAGAGTACAGCAGAAAAATAGCAGCATTTAGTTCTTAATCTCATATTTGATGTTATGATATACCTGAAGTACAACAAACAGTAAGAAATGTGAATGTGTCCATCCATTTAAATTATTTAAACTCTTATTCTATCTAGCATAATAATGATACTAACTAGATGTTTTTCATATCTGAAAATAGTTGCCTGTTCTATAGAAAGGTGCTAAGCCTTTAGAAGGAAAGGATCATTTGAGGAAAAGTACGTGTAGACAAAGAGAGCTCTCTAGATTCCCTTTACAGTTAAGGGAGAGAAACAGGCAGTTTAAGAGCAAAATTCATCTCATCCAAAACTGGAAAGATTAAACAAGTCACACAAGCCATACCCTAAAAGTGCCTATTTCTTTCTGTAAAAGAAACTTAAGCTAACTAGATATGTACACTTTTACATAGTTAGGGATCTAGCTAGATGAAATGAATCCCACCTAGTACCTCACCAGAGCTTTAAACCATCACGGTAATGGGCAACAGCTCTGAGCTACAATATCAGAAATGTCCTTTAATCTTCATTTTGCAGTAAGAGACTTAGTTCCTCTAGAAAGAGCAACTCAAAGGAAGGGAGTCTAAAGGCACAGATCAGATCTAAGTAGAAAAAATCTGCCTGAGGGAGAAGCTGAGAGGATAGCTACCTCCAGCTCCCTACCTGGAACTGGAATGCACATATCAGAAGTAAAGGCATAGCACACAGCACAGAAAACATGGGCTACAAGCACCTGTAAAAGCAGTTTCTTCTTCTCAGCTTGCCCAGATGAAACTCAGCCCTTTCATGGGTACTAGTAACGTCATTTAGAGCTGGCTTGGATATTTCTAAATTTTATATTTTGTACATTTTATGTACTGTAAAATACATTGAGTAACAGCTCAGAATCACATCTGTAGTATTTCACCAGCAGGCAAGCTGCTGTAAATATTACTAGACTATAATATTTATTGAGGGTAGTCTTTCATATAGTAATTCAAATTTAATTTAGTTATAACTCATCAGAAGATGAGTCCTTCAGGTAGGAAATCTGCCGTCAAGATACATTAATATTTACTGTGCACAATTGGAAGATGTGATGTTTCAAATGAAAATCTATATGACCATAAAATCCTTGTGCTTACAATTTCTGATCATTTTATTTCATTTCAGTGATCTCTTCATATAACATAGGCTGCAATTAGGATCAAAGGTGAGCACTCCAGAAAAGGGAACAAATAATTTTCTCCAAAAGAGCAGCTTTCCTCCTGAAGGGAAAAGTTTCTTTGCTCTGGATGAGTCTTTTTTATAACAATTCTTTAGTGTTTTTAAATTATGTTCAAGATGCCTAATGTCCTGGATGGGCAGTTCTTTTAAAATATATAAAGAAATATAGATATATATGCATGCATATTATGCACGTGCGCGCACGCGCACACATACACATACACATGTAGAAATACTTACTGGGCTATCTTAGCTGCTAAAACTGCTGCATGTAAACATCCCCAAATTCCAGCCCGAGAAAGAAATTTCTGACTCATATCAGTAGATCTTCCAACTGCAAAGCAGTCTGCAGCATTTTTTGAAACACCTAATTCCTGCCAGTTGTTAAGAGCATCAGCAATGTTGAGTGTTTCATCAAGGGCTTGACACCAATATTTAAAAGCAGCTCTGTAACACATAAAAACATACTCATCATATTGCTGACATTTTCCAAAGTGGAAGATAAGACTGGCTTTATTTCACTTTTATTGCAGTTAGTTAAAACTGCTTCTGATTAGTCAAAAACTGAAATATAGTTTCTACAACATAAAAAGATTCCATTCCTGGTCAATACAATCATGGGGACTTTTACTAAGGCTAAATTGTCAAATAAGTATTACTTCCTAAAACCACATGGAGACACTTAACCTTACAATTAGCTAGCAGAGAAAAACAAACCATTTCTAGAAAATGCCTCTCAAAATATAGCTAACATTGAGATAGATGAAAGAAGTTATATGGACCTGAAGACAGCACATGAACTTAAAAAGAGAGTTTAAGCCTGTATGAATACCAAATAAAAAAATTAAACTATGCTCTTTTTTTAATTCCAGTAACTATATACCTCTTGTTTCCAGCATAGAAGTGAAGATTTCCAAGTTCATGTAGAGCCTGAACCTTGAGGTCTCTCTGGTTGTTTATTTCAAGGATTCCTGTTATTTATTTTTTAACCAATTAGAAAAAACATTGTCATATTATTAAATCAGTTACTGAATCTCAAATAGATTCCGCATGAGAAGGTGATGTGCATTCATATGTAGTTCAATGTATACGATTTTGTAAGATTTTTTGCACAATTTGAAAGATGCATATTTTACCTTTGAATGTACAAGTTCCTATCTCATTTCCCTAACTCTAAAAATAACAAGAGTCATGGATCTATTTACTTAAATTGTTGCATTTTTGTTTTCTCAAACTTCTCAAATTTCTTTCTCATCAAGAGAGAAACTAGGAAGCAGGCCTCTGACCAGAGCCCTGCTAAAGAAGACTGCCTACATTACAGCACAGTATCACTGTCTCTGGCTCATTTTTGAATACTTTACTTCAAATAAAACTGCTTAAAACATTTGTTGACTTGCTATTCTTAGTCTGCTGTGTCACAGACCAAAAAAGGTAGCAGCACTGAACTATAAATGTGTAAATAAAGTCATACTAGAATGCAATACGGAAATCAAGCAACTAGGTATCATATTCAAATACACAGAATCTGAAAGGTCTTTTTCTTGGGAAAAAAACTATCATGGAATTAAAATGACTCTGTTAAACATGAGAGCAGATTTTTAATTTGGGATTAAACAGTGTAACTCCACTGAAGAAATGCTTTTTTGTAAGAGGAGATAACTGCAGAGGATATGCACAAACTAGTGGCTTGTTTAGGACCTAAGGCAGACCTTTTTTTTGAATTAACAGGAAGAAAGCTATGTATTCCTGCAGACCACCTATCAGAGAGTTAAAACTGTCTGACAGAGGGAATTTAGACTAGAGTGAACAGATGTGAACACAGGCAGAATGATGTTAGATGTTAGCTGGAAACAGAATTTTATAAATATTTTACCAATTGTTTTTTCATAGGAAGAAATAACTACTGGAAGCTGTGACTGTGGTATTGGTTTACTCTCAACCATACTGGAGAAATTAAATTTTTCTTGAGAAAGGTCATATGGTGTTGGCAGAAATGTCAGCTCAGCTCCCACATTAAATTCCAGCCTTCTGTTTGAAGAGCTCTGACTGATTGTTCTTCCAACATTTTCTAGATCAGAAAAGCAATTTATATGCTCAGTTTAGTACAACATTGCTTTGTTTCCTGCATCCCAAATATTCCCCCACCGTATTAGTCAAACAAATAAAACATAAATATATGTTTGTGTGTGCTCTACTTCAATCTGGTTTTCTATGTCTTGATTCTGTCTGCGTGTCTCCTTTTAATTGGACTCAATGGTCATAACTCTCTGGTCAGCTCAGCCAAACAAAAATATGTGCCCAGTTAGAGAAAATAAACTTAGCAAGAGCTGCCAGTTGTCCAGAGGTGACAAGTTATTAGGCATCAGAATACCCAACATGGAAAAAATGCTTACAAGTGACACAATTGTACGGAAAAAAATATCTATCATCCAACCATGGTACACAGATCGTAGGAAATCAGGCTTACAGATTGTGCTTACAGAACTCCATATATTATTTTATATTAGGAAACTAGAAAGAAACACTAAGTATAAGCAATTTGATATTAGCAGTACTGGGTTATATTTTGGCTCTATTAGAATTCAAATATTTTCTATGCTTTTTTCTAATTCTCAATAACCACTAAAACTTGTTAATAAAGAACTGTTCTTTTCACTGCTTCCTATTTTAACTGCATATAAACTTTTATTGTTAAGGGAGAAACACCTCAATGCATAAACTCACCTTGTGTGTGTGCAAGAAATAATGAAAGTAGTTTTCTGCTGTGTCTCAGTGCTCTGCTGTGATATTTAGATTTTTCTAGAGTTTCTCTAAAACATTTCAGTGTGTCATTCACATGAAGAGGTACACAAACTAGGGCTTTTGCTTGACTGCAATCTAAAAGGAATTAATAATTATGAAGAATAATTTTTCGCTATATAAATACACTTTTTAGCAAAACATCCTGTAAAACACATATCTGAACAATTGCTGAGCCTCAAAACTGAAATGTATGGATACGACTCTTTTATCACCTTTGTTTTCTCCAAGATTATAAATTAAAGCCAAACTATCACACAGTGAAGAACAGCACTTCTGAGCATTTATGTCTTTTCCCGTGTTACCTTCTAGTTGTCATGTGACTCCTACAGTCTCTGCACTCCATCTGCACAGGGCGCGCACCAGCTCAACTCTCTGCTCTGATTCTGGACTCTGGAGTCCGGCAACAAATCTTTTACTACAACTGCTCATGCCAGTTACTACGATTCCTGTAGTTTCTACATACCAAAGCTGTGAGCTGGCAAGCGCTCTCTTCTGAGCATATAATGTTATCTCCTCTCACATATGGTATTATCTGCTGTTTAATGACTTTCCTCAGTTGAATTCCACACAAAGCTTTGTGTGTAATGCTTTGACATCTTTTTGATATGAGGAACTATGTTTTACAAACTTTCATTAATGACTAAAATGCTTTAATCCTGACTGGAAAGAAAAACGTCTATGGGTAAAAGAAGTATTCTGTCACCTTTTCCTTCACTTGAGTTTTTCTCTCAACTCTATAAATGACAGTGCAGCTTCGCAATAACTTCTGTGTGTAACTGTGGGCATCCATCAATGCTCACAGAAAGCCAGACCAAGATCACCGAGTGCATACACCATGCTGTAGGTCATGCAGCAGTTGGATGACAACTGCTTTTCTCTAGTCTCAGATCCAGTTTGGAAAGGTCTTCAGAACATTACTATCCATCCAAAATATCAAGGCCTCTTCAGAATAATAATTTGAAAAGAGAACTGAACTTATAAAAAGAAACAGATTACAGCAACAGTGAAAGACGACAGAAACGAAAACAAAAAATGAATGAAGCAAAGTATGAAGCAAAATAAAGCTTTCTGAAGAAAAAGAACTCACTATATTGAAATCTGCTCTGACCTGTATAATCACTTTTTATCTCAGGAGAGAAAAAGCATCCAGGAAAGATCAGTTCACTAGGTGAATGGGCAACAGGCAGCCGATTCCCCATGTAGTTTCTGCAGCTCATCTAAAAAGGAAGTTTTGCTTCATGATCATTGAACAATATTCAGAAAAAACAAAATGTTTGGTGCTTAAATATCTAAATACATAGTCATGCCAAAATAAGGGAGGTCTAATTTTCAAAGATGTCAATGACCCATTAATGAGCATCCAACTCAGGAAGAGAGGAGATATTCAAAATACCTAAATATTGGATCAATCATATAAATGTTTGGATGTGAAATAATAAGTCTTACTTTTTGGATCTAAGCTGGAAAATACAAGTTCAAGATTATTAATGAATTAAATTTGTATCTCATTTGTCATTTGCCAGAATCACAAGCTATTCATTGATGTACGACAAATACTCCACCTTTCTGTGTCTCAGAAAACAAAGGATTTTTGTTAGAATGAGTACAGCAGTAACAGCGTGCTGAGGTGCAACATAAAAATATATTATTTTAACAAACTAAATCCCCTGCTGATATAATTCAGAATTGATCCGTCTACCTCAGTGAAGCTATAGCATTCACAAGTATCTGCACAAATGTATGCTTGCAAAGAACGTGTAAGTATAAGCATGCCTAAAGAGTACGCTGCCTACAAAGCACAAGGTAGTGCTATACAGTAACATCCAAAATAACTTCAAGCAAATGAAAAAATCAGTCAACTCTGTTAAAGAAGCAAACTTCCAGATAAATACATCCAGCCTCTCAACAGGGCTAATCCATCATTGCTAGTTAGTCATGCCAATGTAGCTACATCATTTCAGAAGCAACATACTCTATTCAGAACTAGTTCTACTGCCCCTGGGTGGCACTGCATTGTGAAATGTAGCCATATCCTACCAATTTCCAATCCTCTGCTGTATTTTTTGAACAATCCATATTACTATTAACTAATACTAGTCTTTATTCTGTAAATTACGATGACTTTCCACACCACGATCACCTTTCCATATTACCCAGATTATTATGGTATGTGGCAATCTGTCATGCTGCCCTTATTTTAGGCAAAGGACTAAAGGGCTTCTGAATGGCAGGGCCCAAAAGAACTCAGCAAGAAACAGCCTCACAGAGACAAAAGATACAGCAAATTATCTGTACACCCCTGCAAGCCAAGAGTGTCCTCTGAGTTCCTGCAGGCGCTGCACAGTAGTTTGCTGTTTCTGTGAAAGGTGGAGGCTCCTGGATCCCAAACAAGTTCAGAATCATACTCTCTTGAAATATAAACCCCACTTTTCCTCCTTCCTTAAAATCCTGGGTTTATATTACTTAATTAAAAAGGTAAAAATACCTACTATACACTTGATTTTGGCAAAAATTCTTAGAAATAAACTTTATATTAAAAAACTCCTACTTTTAATAGCTGATTCTATGAAAATTTTGCCACTGGCAATATCAGTTGGCTAAATGCGCAGAACTATGGCTTTGAACTTGCTAAGGAGTTCAGTTTTTCTTTGGTGGTAATCAACTCTTTCAAGCCTTTTATTAATATCATCAGTGTTCTGGTTAGCTCAATTTGCTTAATTCTGGCCTTTAGAGTAACGTTCCAACACAGAAATAAAGCCATCTTTGCATTTAAGTTTAATTAATCAGAAAGATTACCCCATATCCAAATAAATGTTTTCAGGTTAAAGCAGCAGCATCAAGAATTAACATAAAATTAGACTTAGGCTCATAATATGAAATCAGTGCATAATGCAAGGATGGAAGAAATCATCTCTGGGTCATAAAGTCCAGACCTCTGCTGTTGCTGGAATCATGTCATATAAGCCTTTTCATACACTTCAACCAATTTTGTTCTTTATTTTCTTATCGTAAGTCACTTTTTGTGGACACTTTGGAAAACTATATTAATCTAATCAGTGAAAGCAGTTTTTTGGATTCAGATCACAGTAAGAGCCAGTACCCAAAAAATAAATCTGTAGTTCACCTTATTTGCATTATCAGCCAGACATTTTATGAAATGAGATTCAGGACTGTGTAGGCCATTGAATTGCTGTATCCTTTCTAGCAGCTGCCTCTGAGCATATACCAACAGTGGACTCACTTGTTCTGTATATCTCTCACTGAAAAAAAGCAAAATATAGCAATAAATCAAAATAACTATTTTTTTAACTATAAAATGTTACTTTCTGTTTTTTGTTAGAGTTGATGTAACTTACTGTGTAAATATGTTAAATTGCACAGCTATGTGTACCAGTGCTTCCCACTTCTTCATCTGATATAACAGTTCAATTGTTTTAAGGATCATATCACATATCCACCTCAAGTCAACCACGTTCACATCATCCAGAGGAGACTGTGGATGGAGATTAGAACCACCATTCTCATCAGTAATACCTCCTAAACAACTAGGAATGCAGAAATCTCCTTCAGGATCCACAATCTACAATTGAAGAAATATAATGCCAAACACATTGTCAAACTTTTTTTTTAGGAGAAATCAAATTATAAAGATTAGAAAATATTGTACTTCTCTAAAAACTAGTTAGAGAAGACAATATGACAATATCAAAATGGAATGCAAGAGCAAGGAAATTATCTCTATTAAGGATGTGACCATAATGAGTACACTGTCTTAATAAAAATACATTTTTACCTTAAGAGAATTACTTGCTTGTAGTTCAGTTATCATATCAATGATCATGTCTGATGCCAAATAAAATGGCAACCAGACGGTGTCCCTAACAAAACCTCTGGTAATGGGAAATGCCCCTGAATGGGAATGGGAATGTTTAGCAATTGATTGTGCTTCTTGAGTATAGTTCCAAAGTTCTCTGCAAGCATTTTGAAGCAATGTCCAGTGGCCGCCACGATGAGCAAGAACCTATGTATAACATTCAAAATGTAATTATACTTTGAAAAAAAGTATAAGAAGAAAAAAGAATGAAAAATATCATCCTTTTACTGTAAAGTTGAGGTAGAAGTACTCTTTCAAAATTACTATCTACTGATCCTCCTTAATAGCAGAATTACTCAATATTTGAATGTATAGAAAACATTATAAAACCTTAATTCAAAAATTTTCTTAGAAGTCCTAATTTATTACTGAATTTAATTGTTGCTTCTGGTGTGAAAATAATTAATTAAAATTAATCCACATCACCTATAGATATGTTTTAACTTGGTTTTAGGAGGGTATATGGGAAGAATGGTCAGCCTATATTTCCTTTCAGTCACTGATCTTTCTGTACCATTGCATCTATTAAAGACCTGTAAAGACAGAAGCAAGTCTGGAGGTGTTTTAGGAAAGATTTAACACACATGGGAAAGAAATATAAAATGAAAAATAAAAGATTACATAAATTACTGTACATTTCATTGAAAGATACATTATGTTAGATCATATGTCTAATATATTTGATATACTGTACTTGAACATTTTGCAGAAAATGAAAAATCATTGCTTTTTGTCATTGAAGTTTGTTTTAGAACGGGAAGATTATTTTTTACAAAATTTAGAAAATGGTAAGCATTGCAATTCATTGTTCAGTAATAAATAAAGTATTTAATAATAAAGTGTATTTTACCACTGCTCTTCTTAAATGCAGAAAGACTTTTGTAAAATGCTCTGATGAAACGATTTTTGACAGAAACCGGTCATGCTCTTTGGGGGAAAACAAGGTGGATATTTCTGAATCATTTGTCATTTGAGTTCGAGGAGTATCAGTCCCACTCGATTTAAAGCTGTGCTCAGAAGACTTAGCTGTATCTGAAGACAAAAAGTTCACTGGTTAAAAATGAGTTAAAGTTCTCAAAAACATAAAAAAGAAAATATTACTGGTCAGCTAAGATTTTCCAGTGGCAGATAAATACTCAAGTGTTAGGAAATGCCAAAGTTAAGGTTATCATATTTTATAAGGTTATGATATTTAGAATAAAAGATGCTTTTACTTAAGCAGTAGGAGAAGTAGCGATTAAAAGAAAAACAGTTTAAGTAAAATAGTAATGTGTACCAAATTGTTTCCAGCCTCTAAGCCAAAATGCAACCCTTCTAAAAGTTACCAAGTTTTAGTGAGAAAGTTTTAGTAAGAAATTACCATTTGCTAAGCTCCCAAGAACCCTTCTGAGGGTGAGGCTTCTTAAGAGGAGAAACTGGGAAAAGGGGGAGATTGTGTGGTATTTGTAGAACTGCTTCATTATTTTTTTTCAATAACAAATGCTCCCAGTGGGGAAGAAAGAGGGTACATGGTAGAAGACTAAAATAATATGTGAGCTAAAGATTCACAGCAGAATCTAATTTCAAGCTAAACAGCACTTGAACTCCATGGCAAACTACGTGCTTCGTGAAATTCTTTCATTCAAAGCTGTTACAACAGCTCACTAGTAATAAACCAGATTTTCATTAGTTTTCAGTGAGTTTCAGTTCTTGGTGAGTTGTAAACATCATGAAAGACAAAAGAGTACAGCTACAGGTATGCTACTGCAAAGAGATCCAGTAAGTTAACCAGCTAGTTTTGTCATACCTCCTTGAAAAGGCAAAGAGGAGGGCTGATTCCTACCTAAGGAAGTCCTCACAGAAGGACTGGGGAGCAAACAGTGGAGCAGGAAACATAAACTATTCTACTGAAAAAATGAAAGATAATAATAAACTTTGTCCTACAATTTAAGACAGACCAGGAAATTACTGACCACTCAGGAAATCTAAAGGAAATTACAGGCCAATTAACAATCACAGAAATTGATAAAAATTGTAATTGATTTTAAAATAATCTGGAATGTTATCATATTAATACAATTGGCTGTAATTTCTAATAATGTTACATGAAGTAATAAAGAAAATGCTTAGTTGAATATTATTCCATTTGGGTACCCATTAAAAGTTCTTACAAGTCTTTTTTTTGACCATTCCTGACCGTGACTTCTTAAGGGGAAGAGGGCTTGGTGTTCTTATGTTATCCTCCATGACTTCTCTCACGACTACAACGCCAGAATTACTTAACGAGAATATTTCAGGATCCAGAATATTGTAACTACAGAATGGAAGAAAAAAGAAGAAAGTATGAAAAAACAGGTATAATATTAAAAAGAATTTTGATATATACACACAAAATTCAGTTTGTCAAAAGTGAGTTTTGATTAATTTTCTGCTGCTTTAAGAATCAAAAATTATGAATGACGGCCAAAAGATATAAAGAATCAAAAAACAGCACACTATCCTATACTTCAAAACTTTCACAAGATAGTCTTCCTAGTTGTAAGAAAAAGAATATTAGAGTGAGCTCCCCAAAAAGTTCATGTCACCTGCCATATGGTGGAAGACAAAATGTGTTATATAGTAAATTCATTTGCATGTAGAAGCTGAACTGGTCATCTAACACACTCATGGATGGTATTCTGATATAAATCTGTTAGCGTTAATGATAAACTGTATTAACAATCATTGATAATACAATAAGATATACCTGTTCTGATATTGTGAACCATGAATCCCAATATCATATTGCTCTTCCAACTTCTTTTTAAACAAGTTGTAGTGTGCAATTGCCAGATAAATATTCATCTGAGACCTCCAGGGCATCTCCTCAATACATACTTGATGAAACTTCTTTCGGTTCAAGTAACCACTCACAATTGGTTTCAGAAATACCACTAAGGTGTGACGAGCTACCTTCTGTAACTCCTCTTTGTGTTGCCTAAACCAAAATACATGCAGTAGCAAAAAAATGAAACTGTTCTCAAAGCTCTAGAAAATAAAATCATGATAAAGAGTCCCAAAAGAATCTCATGACGTATCCACAAACTTGTACTAACTGAGAAGCATATCACATATTTCTAGCAATAGGATATTTATTGCAGTGTGGAGGATATTTGCTGCAAGTGCCTTCAAGAAAGGCAGTTGTGCTTTCTCTCTTTAAGGGCACTGAACACACACTAAATCCTATCTTATATTTTACCAACTTCCATAAGATACTTTTCTTAGTAAAGGTTTAGCTCTATGTTTGGAGTCACTTGTACCTGAATCATCCAAATAGATCATTACAGCAAGTACAGTGTGTTTTACACATTTCAGAAGACAGAGGCTCTACCATTATGCTGTATATTTAAATCACTTGTTTTATTTATTTATTTTGGTAGCAAATTATCCTCAGTATGATGAAAACATTTAATTTCAAATGCGGATGCTTGGCTTGAATTTTCAGCCATAAATTTTGTTACATGTTTATCTGCCAGATCAAGGAGTTCTTCATTGCCTCGTATTTTCTCTCTATAAAGATACATACAATACTGTAATCAAATCATCTTTCTATTTTCTTTTTGATAAAATAGAAACTTTGCCCTTTATATTTCTAAATTATTTTTCTGTCTTCAGTATGTGGGTAGAACAGTATACCATACATAATATTGATCATATTATACAGCAATACTGTTTGGTAACAACCATATAATAATATTACTAATATTTGATCAATAACAACGATGCAAAGCAGTAGCTGGAGGAGCAAAAAGCTCAGGATAAGTAAAATAACCCCTCCTCCACTGAAAGCCAAGAAAATCATGTAAAGGAAGTTTTCCTTTTCTTCTAGAAGAAGAAAAATTGACACTTTAGGTCAATATTTAAAACTTCACGTACAGAAGACTTTTTTGAGATTCTTCATTTAAAGCACTTTGAGAATTAGTTATGTGATTGCTCACAGTCAGATAACATTTCTAGTTTTCTACTTGCTAATTACTAGAAGTATAAATGATCAAAGCACTAGGTAATGAATACTGTAAGTATTTCCCTTAGCTTGGAAGGCCCTGTTGTTGCTGCCTTAGCCAAATATGCTTAATTATCAGCCAAAAGAAATAATGAATGAAGTTTCATTGGTTTGTATGAAGAAATAGTTTTCTGAAAGCTACAGAACAGACGAGCCAAAAAGACTAGCAAAAAGATGATAAAAACTGCTCTGAAAATAACCTGATCTGATATGAATTTTAAAAAATCTTTTTTAGATATCTAGCAGCCAAAGTTCCCTAACAGTCTGAAATGCCCTATATAGTTTGCAGCTTAATATAGCTTTTCCACTATGGCGAACTAACATGCTCAAGCTAACGCAACTGAAATACATGGTCTTGGATTATTAATACAAAGACCTCAAGATCTTCTATAGCTCTTCTCTGAAATAGCCATGAAATAGATTTTGTTCTCTAGATTGGAAACATATTTTATACCAAAATAAAACAGAAAAGTGAAGGAACTACGCACCTCTCGGTGTAACTAAACCCAGATAAAATCACTCCTTTGACACAAGTTTAGAAAAAATATATACACTTAATTGTAAGCTAAATTTCAGTCAAAATATTTGGTTCTGCGGGTGATCCTGACGACTTATCTTCAGTTACCTTTGTCTTTCTGGAGATTTCATGATGTTTGGATTTTTCACAAAATACTGTCTAAGAGTCTGTCCTTTTCTAACAGGGCTAAAGGCTTCTTTTCTTGATTTCTTCAAAGCTGATGCCTCTAGTTTCTTTGAAGGTGAGATCTCCAAACTCTTTAAAAAAAATCTTCCATGAAAATCTTAAATATACTTCAAATATGTATTTAACCTACATTATCAATTACTTAAGATATGCAGCATGTTGTTTTATACAGGAACAGAACAGAAAATAAATTTCAGAACAGTGTGTTAAAATATGACAGCAAAAGAAATACGTAATGTTCCAGAAAGCTTTACATTTTTTTCTGGAAAAGATGTATCAGATGCCCGAGACTAAGAATCCACCCAGGTCCCAAAATATTTCTTTCATATATCAATGCTTTCCATCTCAAAAATTATGATTGTTCTTTTCCTTTCATTTTAAATACTAAAACTTTTTAAAGGAAAATCAGACTAGCATTACTAGAGCGTTTTGAGGGAGAAAACTCTTCATCCAAAAGAACAGAAATCCATTAAGATTATTCCTACCTTGGAATAAAAATTTAAATAAATGCAAAATTTAAATAAAAATTTACAAAGAATTCTAAACAAAAAGCCTTTATTCTGCAATTAGAATATCTGGATAGGGAGATAATCATGAACAGCAACTCATGACGACGTGCAAGTATAACATACTGATGTATAAAGGCCTAAGCTGATCTCCTCTTCCTAATATGATAGTACCCAGAGGTACTTCACACCAATCTATGGGTTTTTCTAAAGTAAGTTCATGGAAAGTAAGGCTTCCTTATTTTTGGAATTCATTACTCTAACTCATCTAAAACACCCCACAAATGTTGGCCTTTAAGATACATCCAATGCCAACTTTTCTCCCTGGTTTTAGCAGTGGAGATGCGAGCTGAGGGGTAAGAGCTTGTATCCCAAATTTCAGCAATTATCTATGTCTCCGTTGTACTTTCTAGGAGACGACTTTTAAAAAATTACTGTTGTGCCCAGTAAAGATATACAGGACTCCTCAATAGTACAACTCACTTTGTGAAACTCCACAACTGCTGTAGTGTACCTCTTTGCGCTTTCGGACGCAGTGAGAAAACTGGTTTCTGGTCTCAAAGTTCCCTCAATACAGAGAAGGTGGTCATTCCTCCTGACAAACAAAAAATAATGTTAAACTCATTATCATCATAGTAATAATAATAATAATGTTAAAATCCTTAAACTAATAGTTAAAGGGTTATATTTGGGAACAGACAGGGCACGTGCAATTCTTAGCTCACTGGGAACCGTAAATTAAGCATCCTTTCTTTCATTCTTCCCCCTCAAAAAGAGTGCTCACTCTCAAGATTCCTTATTCAAATCTTAACTCATAGGTAACAACAATCCCACTTTCCTAACTTCTAGTAAAACTAAACAGTTTGCTACATTATCCAAATTCTACTGTGGAAAACTGCTGAGTTTTTTTTTTTTTATTTCCAGTCTTTTTGTCCTTTATAATAGCAGTTCCAGTTCCCTATAACATATCTCTTTTTAACGGATTACTTGCCTTTCAAGTTACAGAAATACTGGTGCATTTTTTCAATTAAGTTATATTAAATTTCTTTGGTCTCCTTTTAGGTAAGTGACTACAAACGGCTTGCATTTGTGTTTTCAATATGAATTCATTAGTCTTTCTTGGAAATGTTTTATCTTTCTCCTACATTTGACCACTGGCACCTACACAGCCATACATTACTCTCCTGTAACAATTTTAATACACCACATTTTAATAAAGATTCAAAACTTTTCTACCAAAATGCTTGCTTTTGACTTAACCCAACACACTCCTCCTCTAAGTTCCACCTTAGTAAAACATAGGAAGTCTTACTAACCCACTGCCTCATAATAATGGCCAAATTACCAGGTAGTGTCTGTGAAAAGGACAAGCCTGGGTGATAGAAAGGTTGAGAGCAGACAATCAATTTTAACAGACACAGTCAAGGAAGAAGTAGCCATACGTAATAACATCACAATGAAATAGTTTCTGTAGCTATATAATCCTCTGTGTTCACAGGACTTCTGCAGACTAGGAGCTATGAAAATGGCTCTGGATAGGACTCCTACCAAGTACAATCTACAGTTACTGCTATAACTAAGACAGTGATGAACCTAAGTAGTCGTTTTTTATTACTACTGTAATAGACATCTACCTTTTTAAGTAAACTTGCACATTGCCTGCCCACTCCAGAACTCTTTGAAACTTCTCTTCATTCAGGAGTTTGTGCAAAATTTGAACAAAGAACTCAAGAAAACGTGATTTCTTTCTAAATTTCATCACTGCAATAAAGTAATACATAGTTATTGCTTTTTTGCATTTATGCTATAACAATTTTCTGAATTCAACTATTATTTATGTTATGCTGCATGCTGATGAAGAAAAAGCATATTGATACCAAAATCAGACAGAGGCCATGAAATACAAGAGCAATTGCCAAATATTTCTGCTTGTGATCAGATTTCTAGAACCACAATTTCACTCTATACGCCAAGGATGGCAAATATTCTAGGGTCTGAGAAACTAGTTTCAGAACTATTTTTCTATCAAACAATACATAATGGGTAAGCATGTTATAACAGAATTCAGCTTCAGCAGAATATCCCTCCATTTACTCATGCCTGAAAAACCTGAAAAAAAAAACAAAAAAGCAAGGATAAACAAAGTACTTGCATCCTATCCACTCAGGCTGCTCTTCTCAGTGACATCCACATTAGTGTACAGGCATAACACAGCTCTCACCACATGTTTCAAAAAATGAGTGTACTCAGATTCTTTTGTGAATTCTCTCAGTAACATAATTTAATGTGGAAATGGAATGTCTCAGTTTAAAAAGGAAAGGCCACAGAAACAGGACCACTGAGAATGTGCCACAATTTTCAACAAAATGGGCTCATTTTCAAGTTTATTACAAAATGAATGTTATTTAAATTATTTAAAATATTAACATTTTACATATAAAATCATACATAAAATCATTTGTTTCAAGTATTTCATACACTTCCAAGTGTGACTATATTAAGGATTTTTAAAGCTATGATTTACTTAATTTTTTTATATACGAAATCAAAATGAAGAAAAAGTTTCCAAGGACTTATTGCAAACAATAAAAAAGTAAAGTACATACAAAATGCTTTATTGGCAACTTTCTAAAGTAAAAAAGCCTTTAAAATAAATCCCAATTATCCTACCTTCTCGATAAGCATTCTTTGCTGTCCAGCATGAAATTACAGGGTAGAGGAACAAAGGATCTTCCTGTCCTGTAAGCTCTGATCCAGGTGCTACATCAATAACCAAATCAAATCCATTATGACAAGTAGTGATAGTATACAATAGGAACTCTACCTGGAATCAAAACTGAAGACTAGAAAAATCTGTCTTTAGCACACAGTTTGCTACTAAATCTCTCGCTGTCATCCAAACAAAAACTGTAAAGCTTGCTCTTTTCTTCTGTCTTTAGAAGCTGTGCAGCTTAAGTAATGAAGAGCTTAGGAATGTGACTGATGACCTCTCAGCTACTAGACTAATGAGCAAGATGTCTGGAGTCCATCAAAGGTCTAATGAAGGTCCATACAAATCATCTGTGGAGGCGGATGTGCAGCAAGGAAACGTCCAAAAACGATATTTAAGGATACACAGCATGAACAGAACACATGAGGCTACGAGGGATTGGTGCTTACATACGTGCTCAGTATACGGAGAGCATAAGTAGCCAAACATATGCACTAAACCCATGCATACTGTTCACCTAGACATTTACATAAATATATCATATACTATGTATATATTTAGGTGAACAAGATAGATTCATAAATAGGGGAACAATAACTTGGATTTAAGCTTCTGACAGTTAAACATCCCTGTGTTACCAGTTGATGAACACCAGAAAAATGCGATGTACTATTTGCTATTTTGCCTTAGAAGAGAAACAGGACCAACAAATCTTGTGCTGAGCCAGGTTGGGCGGTTGGAAAAGATGAATGCAACTAGTCTCTGAAAAAAGTGAGGTTAAAAATGGACTCTGGAACAGCCAATTGTGACAGTGGATGAACAGCTGCACCCTCCAGTGACAACAGTCAGTTAAGGTCTGTTGAGTACAAATAGTGTCTAGTGAAACAGGGCAACCAGCAGCACAAGTAGATTTTTTTAGGACAAGCCACATCCCATATTATTCTCTCCTGTTTGACAAGTTCAACTAGATTAGCTTCAACTAGGTATTTTAACAAAGAATAGCATCTGCCAACAACAATTAAATTTGAAATTGCAGAATTTAAGGTGCACTGTGTATGAAGCATTTTGGTTTTCTCACTTTCCAAAGAAAAGGGGCACATTCAGTCTCTTTTTCACTTTTCTCTTAGATTACAAACAATGGAATGGTAAGAAGTGTTGATTCATTTGTAAGGATTTCCTATGATAAGTCTTTGGCCAATATATTTTTAACAGCATGCCCTCCAAGTGTACACATTGTCCTAAACCCATTGTATGTATTTGTTAAGGACAGTTGTAAGCACTGTTATTTGCTATGCGTGGTCTCAGCAGAAGACTCCTCTATCAATTTGTGTTAAATTCTTTAATCTGAGCGACTAACTTTTTTCCTTTACAGAAATTATGAAACGGTCTTTTGCCTTTATTTTTTCTGCTGTGAAAGTTACTTTTATGTAAGTATCCATTTATTAATTTCGCAAAGTACTTGTGAAACTTATTGACAAATATCCTATTTCAGCAGCAGAGCAAGACTTCAGCAATAAAGTATTTTTGAATTGCTGCAGACGTGTTCTTCTCTAACTGATTAACCTATTAATTAATTTTCTATTAAGTATAAATGAGACATCATTCTATTAAATAAATCAATATAATTTTCAATTAACTCAAAGAATTCATTAGTCCTGCAACTTGTTCTGCATGAATGCAGGCATCTACGTCAGCAGAAAAAATGCAAAGATCAGTGCACAGATGAATGGATTTGTGTGTCATGCTTCTTTTCCTATGTTACAGAAATACTTTCACTTCTAAGATATATGCATAGATACATACACAAATGCATATACCTACATGGTGGGCAACAAGTTGAACTTGAGTCAGCACTGTGTCCCTGCAGCAAAGACCAACTGCATATTGGGCAATTAGTAAATGTTCTCAAAAGAGCATAGCCAGCAGGGCAATGCAAGTTTTTCCCCTCTATTCAGCACTTCTGACACCACATCTAGAGTACTATGTTCAGTTTTGGACTCCCTAGTAGAAAACACTGGCATACTGCAGTAAGTCCAGCAGAGGGACACCAGAATGATTAAGAGCTGGAGCACATGACAGTCAAGGAGAGAGTGAAAGAACTGGACTTACTCAGCCTTAAGAAGAGAAGGCTAAGGGGAGATCTTATTGCAATCCACAATTACGTAATGGAGGGAAAAGAGAAGTTAGAGCCAGACTCTCCTCAGAGGTGCACAGTGATAGCACAAGAAGCAACGGACACAAGCTTTTTCATCATAAGGTGGTGAAATCTCTTTCTTTTGAGATATTAAAAATTTGACTGGAGAAGTTCCTGAACAACATGATGTAATTGGACCTGCTTCAAGGAGGGGGCCAGACAAGATAACATCCAGAAATGCTTTCCAACCTAAATTATTCTACGATTCTATATAAGCACGGAAGAGTACCAGATGCCAAGTAACTGATAGGGAAAAAATCAATAGGGGTTTTAATTATATTTCTTCTTAAGTCCTATTTTTTACTTCATATAACTTCGACAAAACAACTAGCCTGAAAATTCTCGCACTTAATCCAGACTCTAAGATATTTTAAAGCCGATATATTCATTACTGAGTTACAAGGTAATTATGTGCAATTCTTTTAAAAAGAGGACAATTTTTGTTAGCTTTAAGAACCCCTTTCTCCACTAAAACTTCCTGCAATGGCCATTACTACTAGCAGTCATAGGACACTGAAATAATACAAGCTATGGATGGGCAATGATTTTTGCCACTGTGTTTTCAGGTTTAGGAAGATAAAGTAAGCCTAAATAACATGGAACCCAATTTACACAAATTGGGAGAACACAGATGATAGTAAAAAAAAAACCCAAAAACCAAATGTGACCATTCCTTTCTAAAAACAAATGAGTGTTTATGTGGAAATGATGAAAAAGATTAATAAAAGTCATTATATATATTACTACCACAGATAAATAGGACTAATGAAATCATGGTTTTGGTAGATTTATCATAGATTATAAATGAAATAAAAGTATTTCTTAGGCATATAATTTTTACAGATTAACCACAGAAAACTGTATAGGAAAAGCTAAGAAGTGTTTTAATACTACACCCACCTGGTTTTGTCAGTCCAAGTAGATTTGATTCAAGAGCACTTAGATTTTCTGTCGCTTTTTCCATTGCAGCTAACTGGGATATCTTTGTAGAACGGTACTGAAATATCAAACACTTAGTTACGAGAACTTAGCTTTTATACAACTGAAAACAGTAGATCAGCAATGGGACTCAGGTTAGATCCCAAGTCTTCTAACTCTACGTGTGGTGATTTAATCAATATTGTCTTATTTTTGGTTTTCAAGTGAAGTAAAATTGATGTTCATAAATGTTTAAATATGGCTTCGAAAAATTGGCCATAGTTCATTCTTGACTAATCTCCAAGGGAGTCACTGGGGTTGCTCTGCGACCAAAGAAATTTTTAGGGAGGTCCCACTGGTACTGCAGCAAAATATTTGAATAGATATTTTTTTTTTATTTTTTGAAAAAATATGTTGCTTTTCATAAAAAATAAATCTTTTGTAGATTTTACTTCCTACAGCAATCAAATTCTTATTTTGGAAGCAGAGAGAGTTTCTACTTTTTCAATTTAGTGAAAATGTATTTTTCAGTCAGCCCTACTGAGCACAAGGTATAATATTGTTTCTATGATCTTACATTCACATTCCTTTTTCTTTTTTGGTACAAACTTGGGAGGAGCCATCACAAACTTAGCTAGAAAAAAATGGAACAAATCAATTCTCCTGGTTACTATCAGTAAAAATTTTACTCCAGAAATCCTCCCCTCTCAGCTGATTATCTTTTGCCCCTCTCTTCAATCTATCTCAGCTTCAAGCTCACACTGCTTCCCTTCTTCCTCTCTTCTTTATCCTACTTTCTTACCACTTTTTTCAAATAAACTCCTCTGCAGTAAAATCCCTTCTAAAATTATTTAAAGGAAAAATGGACAGAAAAGTGTGGAGAAACAACATGACATTTGCAAAATACCTTTACTCTGATTCTAGGTTGTAGGAAATCCTCACAACCTACTGTATCCCTTTGCAACTTAAATATTAAGTTCTTTGAGGACTGAAAGTTTTTGCTCCATTAAGAAAGTATTTTCAAAGTCTACACAATTCCTGTGTTACTGTCCTACTATGAATCAGTTTCAAGCAGCTGCTACACAATGCACAGGTTAAGTTTCTATGTTAATTCGGATACTTCTCATATGCTTGTATAATTCTTTTAATTATTTTTCTGTCCAGTAGAGCATTACTGCCTGCCAGTATTGAAATCTGCAGGATCCTCATGGCTCTCAACTGGAATATTGCTAAGCAGTTCAGCCATATGAGAACCTGTACCCACTTCAATCTGCAGCTGGTCCTAAAAAGACGGCTACAATTAAACAGAGGCCTCTCAGCTATACTTTGGGAACTCTTATTCTATAAAATCACTTTTAGAACAAAAAGTTAATAAATATGGTCTTTAAACTAATACAATGCTGTATTTAGAGAAAAGAAAAAGTGAAAATCAGAACAATTACGTCAGCTTCTGTGTTAGTGGGTGTTTCTTCATTTTTCGTAGCTCCTGACTGGCAGAAAGAAGTTGTTTGCGAGGAACTCAACAATTTTTTGCCATAGTTAACGACAATTACAGCTAGTTCATATTCTTTCCATGAACGTAGTACCTATTAAAGAATCACCCTGTTATATATTTTCATTTTGCGTAATACACAATGTTAATTATTGTCTGCTATTTATAATGGGTCAAAATGCATTAATATTACAGATAAACTTAATTATTGAGTAATTAACTTCTCAATTAATAAAATAAAGCCCAGAACTATAGACCTGTAACACTGCAGGAATTGCAGATGTGCTATCGGAATCTTCTACTCCTGCTTAAGCGTAGGCTCTAACCATCAGAGGATGGAAAGATTTAACCAGAAGTATCTATTGCCATGATCGACATTCTCCCTGTCCTCATGCAGCACTGCTGTCAAAAATACAAAGGGTAACCAAATGATCCTCATTCCCCTCACTGGTATTAAGTGCACATATGAAAATCTCAACAGTATTAGGGAAAGGAGAGTGAATCGTGACATTTATAAATGAACTGTGTGGGGGATGTTCTTAGATGGCTTTATCTTCTTTAGATAGAACTCTAAAGGCCAAAGTACTTCGGAAGTGTGCAAGGTAACTTCACTTTATGAAATCTTTGTGATTATCTACCTTTAGGATAGAAAATAAGTTTATAGATTACTTACAGTATGTGGCCTGAATTTAACTTTAACTACAAAGCTATACACCATAGATTAATCATAAGCGTTTGCAATTCACCAAATGTATGTTTTGAAATGCTATGTCTAAGGAGAATTAAATCAGCAATACAAACACAAAGCCATTTAACTGGGGAATCCAACAACAAACAAGCACAGTATTAAGGTGCTTTGGAGGAATCAAGCTAATCAGCATTGTAAAATTTATCAACCTTACTCAGAAAAAAACCCACCTTGCAACTGACAAGTGATATAAAGAAATAGTTACAAGTAAACATCTGAGGAACATACTTGTAGTCCAGCTATCTTAAAGAAAGGAGCTACTTGAGAATATAAGAAATACTGTACATGTTGAAAACAGATTTTAATGAAATGAACTTAACAAAAGTATCTTCACTGAGATACTTATCTATACTGAGATAGTTATCCATAAAGGAATATTCTTTATAATAAATCAGGATGTTCAGGACTTTGAAGGAAGACATTTTTCACATACATTAACTAAATCTAGAGAATTCAAGTGACTGGGAGTCACCTGAGCTTCATCTAGTTGATATTTTTTGACACATTCAAATTAAAGATAGTAAAAGAGAATCAATGAGATCGGGCATCTCATGCTCACTCTTGAATAGGAAATAGTAAGTTCATTGATTAGTTCAACTGCAAATAGCAATAGATAAGGAATGCTACTGCGTGAAAGCATGAAAGTTATTTTGGAAACTGAGATACAAGATGATTCAGACATCTCTTTTTCAAAAAGCATTTCCTCGAGCAAGTGCTTCCTCAATTGTCAGCCATCTGTTGTGAATGCCTCATTGATTACCCCCCCACAAAAAGCATCATGGGACATCAAACACATCATTTCCATAGAATTACTGTTTCTCTCTATTAGTGAATCTGGAATTAGTTGTGCAATGGTGTGTCCCTCATCTGCTGCCTTGGACTCAGGACAGAAAGGCTATACAAATCGGACACAACATGGTAAGCTCCAGAACTCTGACAAGTCAGGTGTCCTTCTAAGGGGAACAACAGTAGTGATTCAAGCAGAAAGTTAAAGTTTCCTAGTACCACAAACATTCACAACCAATACTGTGGAACTGAGACAACAGTACCAAAGCTAGCAACCACCATGATTTGCACTGCAAGAGCCAGACAAGCCAGCCTGCTAGAGCCTTGACTGCACTAACTTAGGCTGCCCTCATCAGCCTCACCTGGTGCCACCTCCCACCTCTGATCATGGCACAGGAGCCGCATTTCAGCTCAGCCTCAGTCCCTGCCCCAGCAACGCTATCAGAGTCCTGCTCTCCAGTTCTGCCACAGCCATGCCCTTGCCTGGCAATGAACCCTGTTGATTAGAACCATGGCACATGGGCTGACTTCCTGGCTTGACCTTGGACCTGTCTCATCATGACAGACCTGCCCAGCCATCACTGGACTGTGTCTGACCCTCATGACCTTCACCAGACCTGATCCTGACCTGTGGATTGATTTCCTAGCTTGACCTTGGACCTGACTTACCACCACAAACTTGCCTCGTGATCTGGACTCTTGGATGAACCTGGCTACCACCCCCAAGCCTGCCTCACTCCTTGCTGGACGCAGTGGGACAGGCCTTGGCTGGGAAGGCCCCTGTCCTGCTGACCGTGGCTCCCCAGCCCAGAGGGAGCAGCTGGCCCTCGCTGTGCACACAGTCCTTAGAGCCCTGAAAAATCTGATTAATACCAAGAAACTGACAACACTAGGGCTAACAAACTGATCTTTATACATTTTAGAAGAATGCAATTTGAGTCTTGCAGTGCTCTTAAAATTTTTGATGATGATATGGTCTTGGGAGGTGAGTACAAAGACCCAGCTCCTGTAAAGCCTGAGGTAAGGGAACAACCAACCCAGGTGAATTCCTCAAAGCAGCAGCAACAGCTCAGCCTCAGAAAGAACTCTTGGCTGAGCTGTGCTCAAAGCTAGAGGGAATCTGCCTCTTCTGAAGTCACGCATTTACCATGTGATGCATTTTGAATTTAGCATGGCTTTATCTCAGGAAAGAATTCCTATATGCACAACATTTCTCCTTATGTCACTAAAATAGTTTGAGTATCTGAAGCACAAATGAGATCTATAAATATGTATTATGTTTAAAAGTCAACGTGTTTATAAGTTCCTGACAACATGTAGGACCAAGCAGTATAAAGTTTCTTGTGTCTAATTAGGAAATAAGCCATACATGTTAATCTGATTAGAACTACAATAGGAGCTCTTTGCAGTTAATGAACTTTTAAAGTCATATTTTACATTTAAAATAGACTTATTTGCAAGAAGGTATAAAATGTAAAACACACAAAATAGTACAAACCTAATGTCACTGACTAATAATTACAGTCTATTTTCTGAACAAACAACAACTCTCAATTTTATTAAAAAGTCAAAATGTCATTGTTATATAAAATGTACTGATACAAAAAAATTAATAAATATGTCCATACCTTTACTATTCTCTAAGATACCACTCTGAAGGCCACCTTATTAAGACAGGGCTTTTTTAAAGACAAAAGCTATACCTTAAGCTGAGTTGTAAGCACAATAATACACACAATACCTTTGCTGTATAAAATGAAGAACAAGCTATCATATGCTGAATACTCTCATAACATCCTGCCTGTTTCCTTTGCAAAGTAGCACTTGGAATTTCTTGAAGGACTGCCAAACACTTAATGAGGATCTGTAAATACAAGGGTTAAAACTAAGTTTGGAATACACTTATAAGTTTGTACCTCTCACTGTAACAGCGTATTGCATTTGACGGTGAACTTTAAAAATACTTTAAAATCTAACAGATATGATGAAATGCTAGCTCTACAAAAGTCAATAATAAAATTTCCATATACTTTAATGGTGTCGAGATTTCTTCCACAGCCCGGTGGAATACATGACAAGTTCTACACAAAATCGCAGACATTAAATTACAAATATATAATGGATATTTTTGCTGATTTAATTAACATGAAATCAAGGAATGCTTAATTCAGTGAGATGACATACTCCTACTGGAGGATTGCTTAAAACTGTATTGCCTGATTGCTGGTCAGAACCGTAAATGAAAGAAAGATGTTTCCAATCTGTTTGAAAAACAAAAGACTTCTTTCCCCCATTTTTGTCTAACAGATATGAAAAGAACACGTCACTAAATTATTTTTCCCTTAAAATAGGAAATCTGAAACAGGAGCCATTTCCAGTGGCTAGCTGTACCTTTTGTAGGAGATCACAGCCAATGACCTCTTAATCAAAAGATTATCATTTTATGTAAGTATAATCTGTGCTGTCCTAAATGCTCCTAAAAATTTGTCAGGGCTCCGAGTGCACCACTAGTCCTTCATTGCCCTGATGAGCCCCTCCTGCAGCCTCTGCCCAGGAGCTCCATTTAAGCTCAAGTCTGGGCCTTCAGTCCCTGCCTGAGCTATGTGATAAGTGTACCTGTCCCCAGTCCTGTCTCTGGCTCTACTTTCTAGGCAGATATCGGACCTATGCTGTAGCTAGCCTATCTTCTCAATGCACTTATGGAACTACGTTGTAGCCTTGACTCCAGTCTGTCTTTGGCTCCATCTCATGCTGCTCCAGACTTCGACCCTTGATGGAGCCTAGACCTGACTGACTGCTTCTCCTTCCTTGGCACTGTTCGT